AGTATATTTTGTCAATTTTTTGGCAATAAGACAAGAAGAGTTGAAGAGCATTCACTTGCAAAAAAAATCTCTTGAATGCATGCACCAGCATCAGTTACTGCCAAAAACTTGGATGAGAAAAGTATATACAAACAAGGAAGATCTTGAACTAGAACTTGAAACCCCTCAAAAATAGGGGGTCTGCTGATCTCACATTGATCATTAGCACTGCATGAGATGAAGATGATGGGGGGGGGGGATTCCAGTGTACTGTAATGTACATTCTTGGGAGAATGAGAGCATGGAAGGGCTGCTGTCTGGCTGAGGCATTTTTTTGGCCTTTCAATCTTCCTCAGCCCTCTGGGTGGTGTTGTCAGAAAGAGAAGCCTAATCTGCTGTCTGCCTTGAAGGCTTCGTGCATTTGCATAATCATTTCTTGAATGGGATCCCAGCTCCACTTTTTTCCTATAGAAAAGTTCAAGAGTATAAAAAAAGGAACTGGGGTCATATCCTGGAACATTCACCTCCTAAAAAAGTATTTGTGCTTATATTTTGAATGTAGTGACGTTTAGAGCTTATAAAAGCTGTAATTTATGCAGTTTGAATGAATAAAATGTCTCTCAATAAAAATTCCATCAAGTGTGTTAAGGATTTTCCACCAGCATGAAGTAATATTATTTAAAAGGATAAAGCAAAACTCAATAAAGATTCAAGGTCATGTGATATTTTTTTCACTTCATAGTGGATTGAAGGAACTTCACAACATTCCTGTGAAAATATTCTCCATATTTCCTATATGCACTGGAAGTACAGTATTCTACATTTTAACTGGATATGACAAATTTTGAAGGTTTTCCATATGGAGTTTTTTTTTTTTACAATGTATTTGAAATATTCTGCTTTTTAATATTTTGAGAATTATTATATTTTCTGCATTGAAAATATTCTGAACTTTTTGGAAATAGTATGATAATTATATGTTCTATACTGTATTAGAATACTTTATTGTGTGAATGTTACTGCTTTGGAAATATTCTGCTGTGCAAATGCTTTCTGCACTGGCAATATTTGTTTGCATGTTTTCTGTAATATAATTACAGTATTGTATACTGCACATCATATTTTCTGTATGGAAAATATTCTGTACATATGTTTCCTAATGTACTGTAAATAGGCTGCAAATATTTTCTGCATTTAAAATACTGCATACTCTGCATGTACTTTCTTTGTTGGAATTACTTTGAGTTGTTTGCATTGGAAATATCCTGGGTAAATGTGTTTAATGATTTGAGTTTAGACTTTGCAGATTCTAGATTATCACCATGATGGTGCTAAAATGTCCAGTACAATACCAGAAAAATAATGATCAATAAATGTTATCATTATAACCCCATACATTTACACTCTCTGTAACATTCATGACACATATATAAATTTTGTGGACATTTCAAATTTATGAGCTGTCAATAGGAAATGCTATATGATATATGATCTCTGTCTGTAAAATTATATTTTCTGTGCTTAAAAAAGTTAGTACTGCTGTACAGTATACATGAGATACAGTACAGTACTGCCAATTCATTCTTGAGTTTTTGGTCACATACAGTATATTCAAACCACTATATGGTTACACCATTTATAAACTTACTCCCCATCCACCTTGAAAACCAAAAATCCCATCTCACACATTTTTCTATGAGACTGATGAACTTTGTGTAAATGGAGCATATGTGTGTAAAAGCTGATTAATTTTAGGCCTGGTGTGAGTCTCCTGAATAATTTTCACCCTGGGCCACATGTGTCACTTGCAATACCCCCAGGGGTGAGAAGCAATTAGAAGTGGTTTTATCTGCAGAGAGAGAGGAAATGTGCTTCCTTTTATCTATTGACTTTCCTTCATCCCAGGTCTTTTGACCCCCTTATATGCAAAGATTGCTTTCCCTGAGGTCTTTCATTTCTCTTCCTCAACCTGCTGCTGCATATATATGCTTTTGTTTTGAATTATTCAGAAATTATGAGTCCAAAGCATGCTCAGAAACTTGAAAGCATGCATTTATGTACAGTAAATTGCAATAAAATCCTGACCTCAAATATATAAGGACTATCAATTTCCGCTCGGAATACATAAAGTTTACTTATTTGTGCACCAAGTCAAAGTAAATCAAGCAGATTCCAGTGGGTTATTGAGGTCAACTTTTCAACTTTTTTGGTATACTGTACTTGCCAAAAAAAAAGTATGAATATATGCAGCTTAAATATAAATATGCTGAACCTATGCATAGAAGTTCAGCCATGACAAAATTTAGTTTACTAAATTAAAATTTAGTCCACATAAATCAAAATTGATTCAAACTCTCAATTTTGATTTATGTACACTAAATTTTAATTTATGTACACTAAATTTTAATTATTAATGAGATACCAGTGATACAATCAAAATGCAATTTGTCAAAGAGATATAATTCAATTCTTGAAAGAAGAGAAAAACTTTGCCAGAACTTTAAGAGATAGTCTTTAAGTGGGTTAAGTGAACTTATCCCAACATCTAAATAATCATAGACTTTTCCTTTAAACTCAATTTTATGGATTTAAAGAATTACATCCAACAAGACAAGATGCTTTACACTAGAAAAATGTCATGCAAAACCTGATTTTGGTCAAGTTCTAAAGGAGAAATACGTCATCAAATCTGTATCAAATACAGAAAAAGCAGCTTTCATCTTGAATTTTTTTAATAAAGTGTAACCCATTTTATGCAAGTCAAGTTAGTGCCACCAAGAAAATGGGTCAAGCAAACTTTGTTTTGCATGGATCTTTTTCAAGTATCAGGGACACAATTCATATTACTGTACATGAAAGGATACATTTCTTGTGAAGCCATGAAATCCTTTCAATTATTCATCAATTATGCAAGGCCTATAATCACATTCTAACTCAAGTGACTCAAACACAGAATCAAGCCTCATTTACATGGAAAGGAAAACTCTTTTCAATTCAGCATGTATGGCCTTCATGTGGGTCCCAGAAGGACATATCCTTCTGTGTGGGTCAACTGAACACAGATCCATCAAGTGGAACAAATAGCATTTCATTCCTCATGTATAGCAAGTAGTAAAGGATCCTCCTCTTTCTCCCTCTCTTTTTTTTCATGCAACGCAAGGGGGATAGTTCATTAGCCTTGAATACAAAATACAGCTGCCCTTGCCCTAATCCCTTGGAGAACCATGTGTGACCAGCATGTGAAACCATTGTGCAGTGCATTGAACACCATGCATAATTTCCGCTCGGAATACATAAAGTTTACTTATTTGTGCACCAAGTCAAAGTAAATCAAGCAGATTCCAGTGGGTTATTGAGGTCAACTTTTCAACTTTTTTGGTATACTGTACTTGCCAAAAAAAAGTATGAATATATGCAGCTTAAATATAAATATGCTGAACCTATGCATAAAAGTTCAGCCATGACAAAATTTAGTCCACATAAATCAAAATTGATTCAAACTCTCAATTTTGATTTATGTACACTAAATTTTAATTATTAATGAGATACCAGTGATACAATCAAAATGCAATTTGTCAAAGAGATATAATTCAATTCTTGAAAGAAGAGAAAAACTTTGCCAGAACTTTAGGAGATAGTCTTCAAGTGGGTTAAGTGAACTTATCCCAACATCTAAATAATCATAGACTTTTCCTTTACACTCAATTTTATGGATTTCAAGAATTACATCCAACAAGACAAGATGCTTTACACTAAAAATAAATGTCATGCAAAACCAGATTTTGGTCAAGTTCTACAGGAGAAATACGTCATCAAATCTGTATCAAATACAGAATAAGCAGCTTTCATCTTGAAATTTTTTTAAAAGAAGTACAACCCATTTTATGCAAGTCAAGTTAGTGCCACCAAGAAAATGGGTCAAGCAAATTTTGTTGGATCTTTTGCAAGTATCAGGGACACAATTCATATTATATGAAAGGATACATTTCTTGTGAAGCCATGAAATCCTTTCAATTATTCATCAATTATGCAATCCTATGATCACATTCAAACTCAGTGACTCAAACACAGAATCAAGCCTCATTTACATGGAAAGGAAAACTCTTTTCAATTCAGCATGTATGGCCTTCATGTGGGTCCCAGCAGGACATATCCTTCTGAGTGGGTCAACTGAACACAGATCCATCAAGTGGAACAAATAGCATTTCATTCCTCATGTATAGCAAGTAGTAAAGGATCCTCCTCTTTCTCCCTCTCTTTTTTTCGTACGTTGCGTTCCCCCTATCAAGTAATCGGAACTTATGTTTTATGTCGACGGGAACGGGATTAGGGAACCTCTTGGTACACACTGGTCGTACACTTTGGTAACACGTCACGTAACTTGTGGTACGTCTGCTTGCAAATGTATCCCAAGACATGAACACACTTCCTGACAACAATTTTTTTCTCATGCCACAACTTCTTTTGACATGGATTTTTTTTCCTCCCTCTTCCACTGATAATGTTATCATATATGAATTCTTGAAATGGACTTGCTAGTCTTCATTTCAAACATGGCTGCCTCTTGGAGAGAAATACTGTATTTAATTGCATACCAACTTAATCCAAAATCCAGAAGTAAATAACATAGAAGCATTTTTGTTGGGAGGACAAACTTTCCATCAAAAAAAGCTTGACAGAAGAAATATTCTTCTCAATCACACAACAGATGAAAAGTGCATGAACAGAGATACATTATTGTCATTCTTTTTTCTAGACCTAGAAGACCTCTAGTTCTTATTTTTTATCCACAGCCATCTTAGAACCTGCATTGGGGTTTCCTGGTCTCTCCCTTGTATCTTGATAAGCAAGAACTTACAGGGATTTCCCAACAAACACATTTTCCTTTTACTTCAGAAAGCATTGTAATTGTTCTTGAATTGCAAACATTTTCCACATACCTAATCTTGCAGCTCAAAAATATAGACATATCCATCCACAAGGATACATGGTACTAGAGTAAATCAATGAAATGCATTGAATTCTCCAGGTCCACCATTTATTGCTTTCCTAAATTCACTGAGATGGAAAACAGTGACAATTTGACCACAAGAAAATCAACTCTCTTCCACCAAAAAAAGACAGGAAAACTAATGTCCTTGACTCACAAGCTCTCATTTCACTTTTTTTAAATCCCAGAACACAAGCTTTCCTATTCTTTTCAACCTAATTCTCACAAAAAATTCGCATTTGAAAAATTACTCCTGCAAAAAAATAACCTGTAGTTGAACACAATCATGACAAGAACCCAGGTTCTGCAAATCCCTATGGGAGTCTCTGAACAGGTATTTATTATCTGCAGGAGTAATTTTCCAAACATTAATTGAAGATTAAACAAAACATCAGTCTTAGCAAGGAATGTGAACAGGCGAAAAAAGCAAAACCTCCCTGTTTACTTTGGAAAAACTGCCTCAGAAATGCTTTGAAATACTGTTTCCTAAAATATTTCCTTCTGCTTTGGATTACAGCTTCTCTCTGTCACTGATGAATGCAAGAAAAAGAAGAGATATTCTGAATTGGCTTTTACACTTTGAGTTTCTTCTCCAGATTCTCTGCAATAGCGTCCATGAAGTCTTCAGTGTGTAAGAACATGCCTTCCTTGACATTCTTGAGCCCATGAATGCAAGCCACGAGATCCTTGGTCATTTTTCCTGAATCAACAGTATCCACACAGGCTTGCTCCAATGTTTTTGAAAACCTGAAAAGAAGCAAAATATTGTTAAGTATTACTTCAAATGCTGCAACAAAGCTATAAAAATTTCATACACTTGACAATACTTCCTGCCTAAGTTGTAAAAGCTATGAAGAAATCTGCTGAGACTTGCCCAGCAGATCCAAAAAATCCATCACAGCAGGATTTGAGGAGCCTTGAGAAGGTTCTATTGTTTTGGCAAAAAGTGCTCCAATGGAATCTAGGACCATTCAAGACTGGGCCATTTCATGACAAGGCAAATTCAAGACAGGGTCAATTTGAGACCAGGCACTATTTGAGACAGAAACTAATTTGAAACAGGGACAATTTGAGACAGACATCTTTTGAGACAAAGACAATTTGAGACAGAAACATTTTGGGACAGACACTGTTGAGACAGAAGCATTTTCAAAATGACTTCCCTGTACTTCTCTCAAATATCCCATGTTGAAGGTGTGAAAAGGAACAAAAATTCCACTGTTTTGTCAAGAGTTTTGCTCTTTTTATTTCCCATAAGACAATAATTGCACAAATAATTGGAGTAAAACAGCAACTAGGATGCTTCTTTGCTGTTCTCCATATCTTGTGGATCAATGATCCTCAGAACTATGAAATGGTGCTGGTAATTCCCAGTGGAAGTGAAACCCTAAAACTAGCGTAGTTTTTAAAACAATTTTTTCAGGAGAAAGGAAAGTTACAACTTGGAGACCTTGTTAAACCCCTGAGAATAGGGAAGGCATTTTTTTAAAAAGAATGGTGTGCTGCATAAAACATAACATGTTATTGCAATAGATAATTCCTCAAGATTCCGCAAGAATCTTGGAAAAGCCAGAAAAGAAAGTGTACAGGAAAAAATTGCATGTGCAGAGGAGCTTTGGGACTGTCTCAAATTGTCTAGCCTCAAATCTTCTGTCTTGGTTTGTCCATATCCTGTTTCAATCACATCAATACAATGAAAACATCAAACTCACTCAGTAGGAATTTAAATTCCTTGAGCACTAGAGGAGGCCTCAACATCAAGTGAAACAAAAGATGTCTCAAAATATTTGGCATTACTTAAAAAATAAAGTTCTTGGTATGCTCGAATGACGAAACAGGAAAGCACCCTGTTGTCAAGGAATGCAATTCCATTCAGCTACGATACTGGTGAATCAATATTGTTTCACCACCATGCTCTGACTTGACTTGCTAGCATACCTGTCATGAACAACAATTCTCAATGAGAGAGCATTTCTCTCTTCTTTTTTTGGAGCGGCACTTAGAATGCCACTCAAAGGATCCTGTAAGGAAACCCTAGGGATTTCTTTTGCAATCCTTTACTGGGAATTGCTCTATTTGAGACTCATACCATAAGTCCAGTCTGGACCAGATCCCCTCAGAACTAATTCAGTCTCTGTGGAGTGTACTGTACAACTCCACAAAGACTTGGTTTGAAACAGTTGAGATAATCTCTGTTATTCATTTTCTCTTGTAAACTTCTTCACCTATACTTCAGAAGTCTTCTCTTTTGTCGGTTTTGTTGAAATTGTGATTAAATAGATAATTGATTTAATTATACTTGACTCCCGGTCCTCTGGAAAGTAAGGACAACATTCTTCAAGAACTCAAGATCATGATTCAAACCATTGCGAAAAATAAAAAAAAAATTGAACAAGCCTTTCATCTTTTACCAATCATTTCCTTCAATTTATAGCCCTGACAAGACAAACTTCTTCTTCACCATTTCAAATTTTAAGGAAGCTTTCACATTCAAAATCACAAACAAAATACAGTACGGTTTGATCCAAACAATTTTCCATTAAAACAGTTTCCAGACTTGAGGCATTGTCTTCAAGGGCATCTTTCAATGAGTTGAAATACAGTACAGTATTTGGGAACACTTGAAGACTGCCTCCAAAGCCATGAAAGTTTGGCAGGGTGAACATCTTCTTCATAGTATTGGGATGCAATTTCAAATCTCTCTGCAATTTCCACCTCAATAAAATGAGGAAATCTTGCAGATGATCAAACTTGTCCCTCTTCAACCATCCAACAAGCTTTTTGTGCCAAACCTCAATGTCCAGAACCAAACTTTGCATAAGAACCAAGAGTGTCATGATGAATAAGACACATCGTTTGATCAAAAACCAAGTGCAGTACAGTAGAATCTCCCAACAATTCATCAGTGGACCACGAAATCGTTTTTCAGGTTCCTGTTCAGTAGCGATCCTGTTATTCAAGTCGCTTCATAACAAAGCCTTTTCCCTGGTCCCAAAGGCTTCGTTGTAACGAGATCTCATTATAAATGAAGACCAAAAAAACCCACACACCTGTCGAGCTGAGCATTCCCATCCAACTTGGCCCTGTGCTCCAGGCCCCGGGTCCACGCAAAAATGGAAGCAATTGGGTTCGTGGACGTCTTTTCTCCCTTCTGGTGCTGTCTGTAGTGTCGGGTAACAGTTCCATGGGCAGCCTCAGCCTCGATGGTCTTCCCATCGGGACACACCAGGACAGAGGTCATCAAACCGAGAGACCCATAGCCCTGAGCCACAATATCACTCTGCACATCCCCGTCATAGTTTTTGCAGGCCCACACAAAGCCACCACTGGACTTGAGGGCCTGTGCCACCATGTCATCAATGAGTCTGTGCTCATACCAGATCTTGGCTGCTTCGTACTTGCTCCTGTATTCCCTGGAGAAAAAAAAAAAGAGAAAACTTTTTGCAAACAGTTCACTATGTACAAGATCAGCAATCATCCTCACTTTTGGTAGATTTCCTCAAAGATGTCCTTGAATCGCCCATCATACTTCTTCAGGATGGTGTTCTTGGTTGACATGTACAAGGGGTACTTCATTTTCAAAGCATACTGGAATGGATACACAAAAATGCATCACACATCCCATCAAATAACATAACATAACATTTTTTTTATTCAAATAACAAATGAAATTTACTTCAAAGGAAGAGTGAGCGAAATCCCTGATGGACTGATCAGTGTTGTACATGGCCAAAGCAACACCACCTCCATCCTTGAAGGTGAAGACTTCCCTGCGCACTGGAGCACTGCCATCTGCTGGTGTGTAGATAAGCTCCACCTTGCCATTCCCAGGCAGCACCCTGGAAATTTATTTATATATTATTATATTTTTATAAATCCATCATATTCACTCAAGTACCAATTTCACCTTCATTTCTCAAAATTGATAAGAAAAAATCAATTTAAATTGATAAGAAAAATCAATTTTGATAGGGAAAAATGAGGCTGCAGACAGGTGTAAACTTTTCAACAAGTTTTAAAAGCATAGGTGTGCATTACACTAAATTTACTCCAGTATCACACACACGTTTTCTCTTTAAATTAAGCAGAAAAAATGGGGTGCACATCATAGGCAGCGATACAACTTTCAAATAATAGAAGTTCAGGTGCACATACCCCTTGAATTCAATGGGACAACTTGACAAGGAACTTCTAAAAATCAGAGCAATTGAAAATCAAAGGAATTCAGGTTTAAATGTGGATTCCGGTGTCTCTTCTTTCTGAAGTAGGATACGGTAGTTCTTCAGCAACTTAAATTGGGGTGCGCATCTAGGGTAGGATTGCATCAACATTTTAGGACAAAAAAACGGGGTGGGTTTCATACTTGAGAGCATGTGGTACTCAAATAAATACAGTACTTATTTCTAATCTGCAATTTTTATCGATTTCACCAGAAAAACTTGGTTATTGAAAATTTAGGTTATTGAGAATTCAGGTTAAAAATAATGTCTAGATTCAAATCGTGGGGAATTGGATTTATTCTGAAATATTGTATTGCAGTTTTTGAGTCACTGAAAAATTTATGTGCATCTTCCTTTAGGATAGGATTTCAAACATTTTAGGATGAAAAATCTGCATGCTCTTTTTTAATTTCAGGGCATGTGGCACTCAAGTAAATACAATAGTTTTCCGAATTTCTCGAAACCAATTACAACACACGCTGCGAAAATTATAAAAATGTTGCTCTTGAGTTTTGTTGCAAGTACATTAGAAGGGAGCTTTCATCGATTCACATCATCCAAACAAGAAACGCACATGTCAGTCGCCTTGTACTGGTCTCCGTGAGCGTGACGCCCAATGACGATCGGCTGCGTCCATCCCGGCACGAGTCTCGGAATAGACTTGCACAAAATGGGCTCCCTGAAAACGGTCCCGCCCAGAATGTTCCGAAACCACGGCAATCCGCTCTCGGTGTAAAGGAAGTCGAATTTGAGAAACTGTGCGAGAAGCAGTCCGCACTACCACCGCGTGAACTACGGCTGTAACACGAAGAACTACCGCTCACGCCGCAGCTACCAAACCTGGTCATTCGTCTGGTCTCGGTAGGGCAGGCCCAGGTCATAGTAAAGACTTTCCACCTGGGGTCAGACACATCAGTTGGTTCTTTTATTTATGCATCACTTCTCACGATTTTACAGAGAAAACATACAAAAGAAAGTGCAACACGGAATTTTTTTTTCAGCTTACACTCGAAGCAAGAGAAAAGAAAATAAGGCACAATACAAATTAAATCTTACCCTAAACAATCACTGATTTCATTTCCAACATTTCGACTCAATGTAAATTTCAATCATGAAATAAATTTCAATATAATGTAATATAAATTATATAATTCAATTTCAATGTAAATTTCAATATAGTTAGCTTTCCTCAAATATATAATATTTCCCTCTTAATCCTCGAATGGAAGGTCCGAATTTCAGTGAGCATGAATTTCAAAACAGTGACTTGCATAGCGAAATCGTTCCATATAGCGAAATTGTTCGAATTGAAAACAAGGATATTTTACAGCACTTCAAATTCGAACTCTAAATTTCATTTTTATTGAGAAAATGAGGAGGACCGTACAGTTTTTCAGGGGGACCCCGACGTACGGACGCACCAAAAGTTGGATGATTCGACTTAGGGACACTTGGAACTCTAAAAATCAGCCTTGACATCTGGACAAAGTCACCAGATACGGACACTTCTCCAAGGTTTTCCAAACAATAGAAAATGATCATTTCTAAAAATTAAGCTCACTAATTAATTTTACAAAAATTATCAATTTCTTCATAAAATTTAACGGAATCAAACATTTTCCATGCCCTCCTTTCTTCATTACCTTAATTTAAGTAAAGTCCGAATATGAATTTCAAAACGCGAAAAGAATTCGAGTATTTTCAAAAATCCAATCGCTCACTTCGAAAAATTGGCGGGATTAAATTAATTTACCAACAATTTCGAAAGTAACTTGATACTGCAAGACCCCCCTTCTCCCTAAAATAGAATGGAATGATGTAGTGCAGAAACAAATGATCACCTGAAGGTAAGGAAATATGAGTTTGTCCTTGATCATCTGCCAAATGATGCGCGTCATTTCGTCGCCATCAAGTTCCACCACCGGCTTCTCCACCACAATCCGCTTCTGCTTCGACGCAACTGTTGATGACGTCAAATACAGTTACTAAAAATAACCCGTTTCTGGCGGGAACCAGAAATACTTTTCAATGAATTTCCTCCACTCACAGGTTTGTTTCCGTTGTGCGTAAACCGCGGGCGCCAAGTGCAAAGGTTTGGCAACAGCATGCGTTTTCAGCAGAGCTCGACACATGATTGACGCCGTTCCTGCCATGCTTTCTATCTTCTTTCTTTTTATTAACCGAACCAAGTCTTATAAAAGAACACTAGATAATACTTATCGAGCACCGGGGTCCGGTTGAAACTGCAAAATAAGACAAAATCACTGAGCTTCTACGAAGCAACAAACACCGAAATAAGAAGCCCGCGAAAAATAGGAATTCGCACGCAGAAAAATGATTCAAAAGAACATCCCGCGATGTTCATGTTCCATATACACCGCGAAAATTTTTGAAGCGCCTCAACCTAATACAGTAATATAATTAAATTATGCTTTTCCAGAAATTTTCGCACAAAACATAATGAGCATATACTTTATTTTCCTACCACAACGCTTCTCGCGGCTAACCATTTTTTGACGGTGGGCGATGTGGCAAGGGATATTATTGGAATAATTNATCCGCTTCTGCTTCGACGCAACTGTTGATGACGTCAAATACAGTTACTAAAAATAACCCGTTTCTGGCGGGAACCAGAAATACTTTTCAATGAATTTCCTCCACTCACAGGTTTGTTTCCGTTGTGCGTAAACCGCGGGCGCCAAGTGCAAAGGTTTGGCAACAGCATGCGTTTTCAGCAGAGCTCGACACATGATTGACGCCGTTCCTGCCATGCTTTCTATCTTTTTTCTTTTTTGTAACCGAACCAAGTCTTATAAAAGAACACTAGATAATACTTATCGAGCACCGGGGTCCGGTTGAAACTGCAAAATAAGACAAAATCACTGAGCTTCTACGAAGCAACAAACACCGAAATAAGAAGCCCGCGAAAAATAGGAATTCACACGCAGAAAATTGATTCGAAAGAACATCCCGCGATGTTCATGTTCCATATACACCGCGAACATTTTTGAAGCGCCTCAACCTAATACAGTAATATAATTAAATTATGCTTTTCCAGAAATTTTCGCACAAAACATAATGAGCATATACTTTATTTTCCTACCACAACGCTTCTCGCGGCTAACCATTTTTTGACGGTGGGCGATGTGGCAAGGGATATTATTGGAATAATTGGTAGCACCATTGATTTATTTACAATAAGCCTTAAAAGAAGAACCCAACTGAAAAAGCAACCGACGTCAAACAAAAAGATCACACAAATTACGGAAATATCTGGGCAAGTAAACGAAATGTGACTAACTTCGGACACGTGAAAAAGTACCAGATTATTTCCGATACTGAACGAAAAACGCGGAGGATGCTTCAAGGTTCAACACCACATCCGAATACCCCGGAATAACAAATAAATTCTACACATGTCTCGCGAGAAACGAAAAATATCTTTTCGTCGCAAGAGAATCCTGAAAAGTCGGCGCAACATTCCGATCGCGGATTGAATTCTAGGCGTAGCGCTAAGAGAATGTCACAATGATCGTGACGCCACGTATTCTGAAGAGACAGACACAGTAACAACAAACACCTCCGCATCAGAAGACTATGTTTTACAGCGAAACCCGAGCGACTCCAATCCGTAATAATGAAATGACATCAGCGGAGTTCGCCTCTTGTGCACAGCAAAGAAGTAAACGAGCTGTACATGGAGCCTCGGATAGGAACAACGTAACAATCTACAAGACAAGAACTTCGCACGCGTCTAGATTCTGAGATAAGATAAAATATTCAACTTTCTGAGTACCGCGAGAAAGACGGGACCGTCGGGAGACGGCACGAACTTCTCATTCAACAATAAATTATTCGTTCGATTATTTTTCAGAGAAAAATTCATGCTTGAGGGAGGAAAACAGCTTCTTTTCCCGCGATTCTGCACAGCTCTCGAAAATATTATGACACGACTCACCCAAATTTCTTCACAGCATATTGCTTTTGAATGACTTTACGTATGCTGAAAGTGTCTCCGTAGTGCCTTAATCAAAGGCTTCACTCCCACGCTTGACGTGACTTACTTCCTCCTTGATTTTGACACAAATGAGCTTACGGAGCGTCACAGGTTTTATGAGATTAACGGAATAAGTTATGATATTCAGCCGCGAAGCTTAAAATAAAAATATATTCTGGAATGCTGGGCCGAAGCCAAGGAATTGTCGTCACTAATGGAGTTGTCCGCAGGCTTCACTCTGTCTGAGAAAGCAATATTTTCGCCGAGAAACACACCGAAAAATACCTTTCTCTGTTCCTCNATGCTTTCCAGGCTTCGATGTTACCCCTGTGCTCGATTTCAACGATGTGATGTGCCATAAAAATCAAATAACGTAAGTGTTGAGTTTACATCGAACGAATGGGAAAGGAGCAGGAGCTTGTGGAAGCCGCTCGCAATGGGAATTACTGCCAGGTCGAGAAGCTACTCAGTCTCCGCACGAAGCGAGTCGGACCCTTAGCGAGGTACGCTCCGTTATCATGCCTCGATTATGGTAATACCGTAACATGTCAATCTCTCATGTTTTTTTAGTTTGCGTCGAGGGCCAGGTCCCAATGCGCAAGATGCGAGTGGGTATTCCGCTTTGCATCATGCGGCGCTCAACGGTCACAAGTAAGTGCTCCCAAGTACAATCTTAAAATTTATTTGTATTGCAAATCCTGTTGGATGTTGAAGGGATGTTGTCGAGCTGTTGTTGTCACACGAGGCGTCGACGAATTTGGTCGACTGCAAAGGCTCAACACCGCTGCATCTTGCGGCTTGGACCGGCAAGTCTGATATCGTCGACGTTCTCTTATCCCGAGGACCCTCCATTCCGGACGTTAATTGCATGGTAAGTTCGCTTTGTGCAGAAAATTTGAGTGGCCCGAGAAAATTTATTGTAAGGATCTTTCTGTGATCAGCTACTGTTTGTTCTCTCCTGATAATTTCTTGGAACCCGCTTTTGTCGCCTAAATAATGCCCTGATTGTCATGAACAATTTTCTTTTGTGTGTGTATTGTTGATATCGCGTATTTCGTGAGTCTAGTGACGTCAAGCTCAGTGATATGCTTCTATTTTTCATTCAGAATCGAGATAACGATACTGCTTTGCATTGCGCGGCACAATACGGACACACTGCAGTTGTGACCTTGTTGCTTGAGTATTCCGGGGATCCGACGATCAAAAACATGCGAGATGAAACTCCGCTGGATTTGGCTGCCCAATACGGTCGCTTGGATACCGTGGATCTCTTGATTCGGTCTCATCCCGAACTACTTCTGCCGTATTCGAAGGANCACACTGCAGTTGTGACCTTGTTGCTTGAGTATTCCGGGGATCCGACGATCAAAAACATGCGAGATGAAACTCCGCTGGATTTGGCTGCCCAATACGGTCGCTTGGATACCGTGGATCTCTTGATTCGGTCTCATCCCGAACTACTTCTGCCGTATTCGAAGGAAAATTGCAAGCACAGAGCTTTTGGAATCACGCCGCTGCATTCTGCTTCAAGAAATGGCCATAAGTGAGTTCGGAATTCATTCTTCGAGTTGACTCCGCTCCGTCAAACATTTTCTCGAACTGTAAATATATTTTTCACATTTGGGTTTGCCGATGATACTGTAGGATGATGAATTAAAAATATATTCTTTAAGAACGATGAGTGGCTGATGTGTATGCATTGGAATAATATTTTGAAAGAAGGGATCAGTTCTTGGAAGAACTTCTTGTCAGTCCCATTTCCCCCAGAACTTTGAAAAACAACAATTCGAGGCGCAGTGAATTCATTTCCGCGCAGGGAAAGAGTGTCAGTGTGAGATTTTTACTTCATCGTAGACAATTTATTAAAATTAATTGTTGTGTAACTGAAATACGTGGACTTCAGTCGTGTAGTGTTCCCGAACTATTTTTATTTGCGTTATCTTCACGAAATTCTTGATGAAGAACGCGAAAGCTTCGTGTGAAACCAACATTTGAGCCTGTAAATGATTTCTCCTGAATCGATGGAGCTGCCATCTTTCAGGATTCATGATTGAGTGTTTGAGTTATGCGATTATCGTCGAATTCTTCATTTGCAGGAACGTGGTTAATTTGTTGCTGAAGAGTGGCTTTGACGTGAATGCCGTCACTCCTGTGGGTACAGCTTTGCATGAAGCCACATTGTGTGGGAAAGTGGAGGTGGCCAAGATCTTGTTGGAACAAGGCACGGATGTGAATGTCGCCGACTGCCAAAACCGAACTGTGATGACTATTGCTGAAGAGCTCAACACTAGCGTTACCCGGGAAATACGTAGTCTCATAAAAGGTTTCTATTTCGAAATATTCTTTCTTTTGGGTTGACATTGAGGTTTATTTTCCTTTTTTGTTTTTGCAGATAAGACAATCCTAGTTGACTTTGGCGAAGACTGGAGCCGGTCGAAAGTTGTTCCGCCGACTGTTGGGAGTCCTTATGACAATGTTTTCTTCCCTCCCAGACCTGAATCTTCCCAACCATGGGACACTGTTATAGAAGATTACAAAAGACATAGACGGTACTTACCAAAATCTTGATACACGAAATACACGCAAATATTTGCAGCATGTTTTGCCGTTTTTGTTTGCCTTTTGTTAATTTTGCATGATACCTTTTATTTCTTCAGACGGAAACTTGCATGAATTGAACCGTTTTAGTGTACATTTTATTCAACGAGGATACATTTATCCTTCAAGCTATGCCTTGACAATTCTTGGTTTATTTCTGTATGGTTTTCTTCACGTAAAATAGGCATGTTTATTTTTATGTGATTTACAGAAAAATAAAACCCTCTTCTGGATCTGATCGACATTTACTTCGTATCTGCATTTGATATGATTAAAACATGATACATATAGTGTTATGTAAGAAACAAACGAATTGTGACAGAATTTTGAAATGTAAATGACGCGATGTGTGAACAGATATACATAAATTCACTTTAGTCTTTTCGCATCACTACAAGCATCGAATCTTCATCCCAATCTTGGAAGACCAGATTTCTCGAAATACAAATTGTCGAGAGGAATTGTTCTGTAAATTGCACAACCTCTGTAACTCGATCTTCCCCAAGTCGAATACCTTCCTGTGCCAAATTTAATTTGTCAAGTGTATGTCTTAATTCCCTCACAATTAATGATTAAAAATTGTAGAACTCGAATTGTTTTGCTGTTCCCTTGAAATTTGACTGTATGTACAAATGATTTAATTGTAGGATGTGCGGCAGGATTCTTAGCTTATGTACGAATTCAAAATTAGTACATTGACTCACTCCGAGATAAATTAAAACTGAATTTGTTTCCTTCTCTGCTTTTGCCAAGGCACCAATCCTTCGAAGCTGGACAGTTGTCGAAGTCACTAGATATGATGGAATCCGACGACATGTCGTCATCGTCTGGAAATGATCCTTCGCCGAGAATGATCGCGGCGGAAGCCGCAGCTGCGAAAGCTGTGCCTTCTGGTGGCGCCCGTTCCAGAGTCGCCGGTGGACGAGTGAGATCGAGAACTGTTGAAGTACAACTTTTGCCTCAGCGTGTGAACCCGGGCCAGGGTTGCTGCGTTTGGGAGAGCTCCTACTTGTCCTTCAGGCCCTTGCTCAGGCCTTCCTGATCAAGACCCCTATCGCCCCTTTCTACCAGATACTGAGGGCTTCCTATGAACTGATAGCCACCATTTCACTCACGCGAATTTATTTATTTTCAGAATTTCACGAAGTCACCAGCATTAGGGTGTATAAAAAGTTGAAACTCGATTTAGTTCCTCAAAAAAAAATACTTTACTTGAATGGAAACTGGGCCAAGATCGAAGAAATTAATGCTTTATTTTTTTCTATGGATACCATTCGAAATCACTTGCTTATGCTCACAAAAAAAACTCAGAATAATTTTAAAAAGTCTATTTCTGAATTTTTTATTCTTGAGAAATATTTTTGTTCGCGTTTGGGACCTTCCTTAATTGAAAATCTCGTAAATTAAGTGGGAACTTTCTGGGAAATTATAGGGGATCCCTGCATTTCAGCATCTGAAAGTATCAAAGAAACTGAGAAAATAGCTCTATTTTTTTATTGCACATAATGTGTGTTGAAATCTGATTTATTCCGACTCATCAAGTATACATTGAAATACAGGTTAAGAAGGTACATTTATTGAGCTTATTCAGAGTATTTCTTATGGTTCTATATTAAAAAAAAAAACATACTACAGTATAAGGCAGATAGATATAAGGCATACTATAAGACAGATTATTTTGCGTAGTAGAATGCCTCAACTGAACCTATGTATACCTGCTCTGTGTACATTTAGTGCCAAAAAGTGTGCCAGGACAAATGACGGCACTATATTGAGGTTTTACTATTGAAAAATTTCATTTGACATAAAATTAGATTTTCTGGTTTTCTATCTAGTAAAACAAAAAATTCTGCATATACAAGCTTATTTTATCCCCTATATTAAATCCCTAAAGTAAACCTTCCTCATAAAATTTACTGTTCATTTATTGACAAAAATGTGCTATATGACAAATGATGGCAACATATTGAGGCTTGACTATGTTGAAATATAGTATGAATAAAACAGTACATTTAAGATACAAATTATTTCTTGTGGCTTTCTCTCCTATATAAAACAGAATCATCAGTGTAGACAAGCTTATTTTTCCTGAAATACCTCGACTGCACTTTCTTTGTGTACAATACACTTAATGAATCAATGCCACAAATTATGTCAGGAAATTGAGGTTTGACTGCTTTAAAGCTCTTGATTTATTTTCAGTCAAGGCCTCCAAAGAAGCCCCCAAGAAGAGCATTTGCTCCTCCCACCACTGGAGGTCGCCACTCTCGCACTCTCAGCTTCGACACCAACGTGGACAGAGGGCACGAAATCCCTTGCCTGAGCAAGTTGGTTGTGCTTAGGCGTTAGTAGCTGTGGTTCAACCACTTTGCAGCGCCCGAGTGCAGTTCGATGCTGTTGCAGGAGCTGTCACTGCTCCTTGTTCTGCAACTACTGTGGCGCTGCTTTTCCCTGCTACCCGGCAGGAACAGGTCGGGATCCGCAGACAATCTTTTAGACAGTGTCGTTGCTGGGAATCATCAGGGACAAAAGAGACGGAGGAAGTTTGTTGCTGAAGCCAGGATCGCGTTGGAAAGGGAAAAATCGCCGTCGAGTCCGACGCATTATCAACAACCTCCGACTCCTGATCATCCTCCACCACCTGCTTGCCAGGCGCTGACAAGCATTGCTGACAGGATTTTGCCTTTTACCAATGTTGGTTAATTTACAATACTGTTCAGGAATCATTTCAATTAGTCGAAGAACCTTTAAAATGTCCATGAATATCAAACAAGTTTTATTTTACCTAAAATTTTTTACTGGGCCTGTATAAAATCCAAGATCTTTCATTGAAAGCAGTAGAAGAAAAGTTCAAAAAAGTGTTGATGAAGATAGCAAACACATTGCATGCACTTTCCATGCAAAAATTCATTCAATAAATTTTCTTTTTGTATCTTTTTCAATCCTTTCACACAATTCATTCACTCTGCATTTTTGAGCAACCAGGTCAGGTTAAGTTAATTGAAAGATATTTGTAACTAACTTAACCTGACCTAACCTAACTTTACCTAACCAACTCCCAAAATCAGTTTCAGTGGAATGCGGAAAAATGAAATTCACAGTTTCTGGTAGGTGCATGGAAAGTAGGTACTGAGATAACAGGAAAGTACCCAAAATCAGACTGAGAGAACTAAAGAAAGAAAAGTAAACCCTTGAATCCGATAAGTTCAGCATCTTTATAACTCATTCAAGAAGCAGTTCAATACCTAGCACATCATCAATTAAAATGTCATGTCATTACTTTTTCTCTCTCCAACTCAAATGCTTGTTACCCTGAAGCTGCTCGACTGTACTATTATTGTCCCTCGACAATTATTGATTTAATCTAATTGACTTCCAAACAGGGTTTGGCTTCGAGAAACAAGCGACAATCCAGGGACATAGAAACGGAGACTGACGATGTGTTGGTTGTCGTGAATAAAGTGGATGTTGGCTCAAGCATGACCCCGACAGCAGAAGAATCGAGTCCCGTTGTCCAAAAACCGCCATCTGTTGAAGAATTCGTCGGCGATGGAATCTTTTCAGGCTCGTCAAAAAATTACCTTTGGGTCATACTTTTTAACGTGTATTGACTCAATTTTTTTACAGGGTTGTTCAAAGGCTCAGTGGTGCCGAAGTCGAAAGAGCAGCTTATTATTCGTCCTGTGACGAAAGTTCAGTCCCTTTCGTTCAACGCTGCTGATACGGAAATGGCGAAGAAACGATTGCAGGTTGAGGAAAAGCCAAAGAACCTGGAGACCAAAGACACTGCAAAACCTGTGGATGAAAAGTCCCTGAGTTTGCAAATGCTGAGTCCCTTTGATGAGAAGGAAGAGTGGAACAAGATATCTGAGCTCATTGCTTCCATCAGCAGTGGGTTGAGTCAAGAAGAAGCTTTAATTCCGTCTTTTGTTGATCGAGAAGTTTGCAACAGACAAGGTAGATCAACACAAGAATCGTAATTTTTTAGATTGTGATGAGTGATTATAATTGGTTTTAATTTTTGTTTTTCAAACAGTTTCCATGATGTCGAATGGGTGTGAGCTCAAGGACTGGTTGACGAAACTTGGACACGAAGATCTACTTGCCCAATTTGTATCAAGAGGATTTGATGATCTCCAATTTCTGGTAAATACAGGGTGTCAAAAAAAAATTCTTCGCAGTGAAAAAGAAAAAGCTTTCTGTAAAATCATCTTGATAAGTGGTGACTTCAAGTATAATATTTGGGTTTCCCCTTCAAAAAACATTTAAACTCCAAAAATAAATGATCTGAGAAGGAGTTCATCAAATTATTACGATATTCTTTCTCAGATTTCTGAGAGTCTTCTATAGAATTCTTCAAAAGATAGAGTTTTATCTCAATGAGCGATTAATTTTTGAACGGGAATAATTCTTTTATTGTCTTTGTATATTTTGTAATATGTCTCTGATCATTTTTCACAGGGTTCAGGAATATTGGAAGAAAGTGACCTGACGGACATGGGAGTACGTGACCCGAGAAGTAGACGAACTATTTTGGAACAAGTCGCCAGACTTCCTTGCAAATTGCCCAAAATCTCGCCTGGGGAAAAGTATGTTGTCGAAAGATTCGACAGTGTGGAAGAATGGCTGTCATTCCTCAACCTAGACTTTTACGTGTCCAAGTTCCATCGCTACAAGTTCAGCAACATGAACAAGGTTTCTTTTTCAAGACGGGAATTTTATTTAAGGATTTCCCCGAGATTTTTGTCAATGGTTTTTTTGCAGGTGAAGAAAATGTGGGAAGTTGAGTTGACGACTATTCTAGAAATCACTCTTCCTGGACACAAGAAACGAATCCTGGCGTCAATAGGACCTGAGAAAGAAGATGGTCGCTTTTCTTCTTTGTCTTCAAGCACTTCATCTTTGGCAGCTGACAGGGTGCCACCTGGTGGAAGAACTGGGTACCAAAGCGATGTTTCTGCTGATCTCTGTAAACTGGTTAGTTTTTCAAATTAAAAAAAAAGTGCTGTGATGGAGTTGTCTGTTTTTTTTTTCTTGTTCTCTTCGTGTAGAGCAATGAAATATCGGAGTTCCAGTGTGAGATCAGAGAGAAACTGGGATTTTCCAGTTCTGGAGCTCGACCTTTCTGACCTTGAAACAGATCTCCTTTTCCTTCCTCCTTTCCATCTCGAGGACGTGGTGGAAGTAGTCGTCGTCCTCCTCCTCCTCCTGGACCTTTTAGAGTCTCAAGTCTATAACTACAGGAAAGTTGGGATCCTTTCAAGGATCCCAGAGTTTCGTGTCCAGTACTGGAAAGAGACCCTGACGACGGAGGCGTTTTCCACGAATTTCCTGCTCAGGTCAGTTTTCATCTCAAATAATGAATTGATGCTATAGAAACCTTTTTTTTTTTTAACTGAAATGCGTAATCGATTCCATTGTTGTTTCAGTATATTGGATCAACGATAGTCCATGTCATGGAGGGCGTTGAAACTTCGAGGTCGTCTATCCAGAAATTGATGGATTCCCGACTAAGGTTTTTCGCACGGTTTCAGTGCAAAGCACATAGCTTTTTCGAGCAAGCGAAATAACTGTTGGTGAGGTTCCACTCCACCATACCTAAACTCAGATCCCAGTGTCCCTTCTTTTCTGGGCGGGTAAAATCCTGATAAGCTAGACAAATGTTTTGCGTTTTACAAAATTCTAAGTTGAATTTGTGGGACACTCATTATTTTCTTGCTTTCCAATTTTAAGGAATTTTTGTTGATGAATTAAACAGTGGGTGATTTTTCGGTCGCATGACAAAAAAGAGCCAGAATTAAATCGTGATATGCTAGAAACAAATTTATGCAATTTTACTTGAAAAAGAATACGATTAAATCGTGATATGTTAGAAACAAATTATGCCTTTTACTTAATTCCAAGTTGAATTTGTGGGACACTGTCATCATTTTCTCGCCTTTCAATTTAAATAATTTACGTTGATGAAAAAATCGGTTCATGTTTGAAACGCAAATATGGAGGATGTCGTGTCATGAAAGAGCTGTTCGCTTTCATATGCCAAATGGAGATTGACATAATTTATTTATTACTTTTTCAGCGTGTTCTATGCGAGCATGAGTTGCAGAAAATAAGCTCTGCTTCTCAATTGGACGCTGATTCCCGTTATTTCGGGTACGTGACCTTGGATGACCCGAGTGGCATTCATTATTGTCACGTGTTCTCCTCCGATTCCGCGGTAAGTGTTTATTTTATGTAAACAAGTGAGACCCAAGATGCGGACATAATTGGTGCATGAAGAGTGTCCCTAAGTTGAATTCTGTATGACAGTTCAGAACAAAAGGGTATCTGACTGTAATATATTAAAAATTAGCCACAAAATACCTTCTTTATAAGAAGTCTTAAGGGACTTTTTTTATAAAACGGTGAACTTAAACCTTAATCACCTATGTAACTCAACTCAATAGGAACATTTGGAGCATTGAATAGTGTATCTCCATACTGTACATTGAAATGTTGGCATCTACAAAAATAATATTCAAGGGCAAAAAAAATGTAGAAGTCCCTCTATGCTGGAGGTAATTTTTTAAAATTAGCTGAATGGATGGCAAATTGGCGAGAGAAATGCGCAAGAAATTTTCTTACAACAATTTTTGGGTTGGAAATATCTGTTTCTTGTAATTTGGCCTGAAATGTATTTGCAATATTATCACAAAATGTCCCTATGTTGTCAGTGTCCTCATGTTGGGCCTTTTTTATTAATTTCTGCTGGGGAAAATAAGTGTCCTACGTCAAATTGACTGCAGGTCAAGGTGTTCGCATGTGGGGGTCTCACTGTAATTTAGAGTGTAAATTTAATGATTTTTTTTCTATTTTTCAGGCAATTGCGATGGAAGTGATCAATGCTTTGCGAGGCACATTCCATCCGAAAATCCCTGCGAAACCAGTGTTGGCAAGCAAAGCAAATGCTCCTCTTTTGCTGGTCTCTGCTGGAACAGCTGTGTCACCTGCCGTGGAAATGTCCCGCTCTGTGACTTCTGAAGCCAGTGACTCTTTGATGGGGACACCGAAAGTTGGATGGCCTGCTGAAAGGTCGCTGTCCACGAGTGACGTGCAGGCATCCTCAAGCAGCAACGGTTTTGTCAAGCGCTCAACTTCCAGTTCATCTGACAACTCGCCTCCTACTGTTTGCAAGCTTGAGATTGAAACTCAGACCTTTCCAGGTTGAAAGCCTTTCTGTGTTGAATTTTTTTTTCGCGTCCTTGTCTAAATTCCCTGGGAAACAATTCATGCATTAAAAACATTCCTCTCTCAAACCTCCATGACTCACAATTTCTGGATGTCTTTTGGTTGTTTTTTTTTGGCATAGGAAAGAGAAAAGCAATAAAAATGTGACCAGCGTTTTGAAAGAGTGACAGAGTAATTGTGTGAATGAACCCTTGTCTCCAAGTTTAGCATCTTATCGTAAACTCATTTAAAAAGCAATGTAAGGCCCAGAGTAATATTTCAACAATTTAAATTTGCTGTAATTTTTCCTTTTTTTCCCCCAACAAAAATGCTTATTTCCCAAATTTAAAACCGCCCAATATGGAATATTTTTGCTGATCTAGTGAAGTTTCTCCTGGAGATGTATGACTTTTTATGTAGGAGATACTGTATTTTGTGACATTGTTGGCACTGTCTTGAATTCCTGTGTGTTATTTATAAAAAAATTTTTTCTCCTGATGCGGGAAGAAAGAATGGGAGAATTGAAGATATTGTACTGTTGATAAATAATTTATTTTATTAGAATATGATCATCAGGTGTGCTGATGCATGGGCATTGGCACAAAACATAATTTTAATTATTGGAAATCCATTGTTTGTCTTTTTTTGCGCTTGGACTGTTGACAAACTCACAGAACATGAAAATTTGGACAATGAACCATTTTTTGTCTTTGGGGTTTCAACTTCTCTCCATTTTGACTCATTTTTAGAAAAAACCTAGAATTTTCAGAAAATTATTCTTAAATTAGTCTCAAGATTATGCTGTTCCGTCCGTCAATGAAATTGATATAATCAGATTAATTTTACTTGATTAATGAGGTGTTTTTTCAAATCTGTAGCTGTTGAATGGAAATTGTGTTTAATGCTGTATTTTTTTTTTTTTAAGAATAAGGTGCCAAAGAAGAAGGAGGAAGAAGCCGTAATGGTGGTGGTGAAGAGGCAGACCTCTACTACGTCCTTGGACAAGCCCAAGATCCCTGCCAAACCCAAGTTTGTTCCACCTCCGCCGAAAAACGCACACCTGAGAGCCGGGTCGCCAATGTTGCAGCCTTCACCTTTGATGTTGCGCAAAGCTCAGAGCACTCCTCAAGTAGACATCACTAGCCCGAATCTCAAGCGAGCTCCACTTGCTACCAGTGAAGATTTCTGACCTCAGAGAAAAGTTTATAAGAAAAAAGTGGATTTAGGTGTGCTAAAACATGTGGGCTACCAGCATAAGATGGATTCAGTGTTTAAACTGTTGACTGATGGGCAATTTTTTGGCAAAATGGTCACTGCGGAAGACTGGCGAAGTTACCTGAACATGTTGCTACTTTTTTTTTTTTTTTGCAATTAACCAAGTGATAGAAGACATTTGTTGCTTAATATCCTCAGATCCTGGAATGAAGAGAAATATTTAGCATTCAGCAAAACTTTTCCAGGAGAGCTCTGTGTGCTTTTTTGATTGAGGAAGCCATCCTGCTGCTTGCTTTTTTTTTTCTTTTTTGAGGCTTTATATGAAACCATGTAACAGTAGACATGTTTTTTTGTCACTCCATGTTAACCATTTATTGTTCCTGACCAGGGAATATAAATTATGGATCAGGGCTGACAAGTGCAAATAATGTCCTGCTTGGATAGCTCCCTCCCCTTGCTTAATATATCTCTCTCTCATTGCTGGAAGTGACGTCTGTTTGTTCCTAGAGGAAAGACAAAATGGATCCTACTTTGTTCCCTCTTTCTTTTTTTTTCTACTGAGGATGTTTTGAGGTGCTTTTGGTGTTGTAGTTCAACTTATATGGAATAAAAAAAGGAAGCAGGTATAGTTGAGGATTTTTTTGTGATACAAGAGGTGGAAATGTTTTGTTCAATACCTGGCTGTTCAGAGGATATATTAGTCTCGCTTTGCATTTGTCATCAGTTTTTAGATTCCCCACTCTTTTTTTTTCCTCCTGCCGGGAGACAAAAGAAGAAAGCATTCCTTGAACTATAGTGTTCAACTTAATCCTGCTGCTCAACAGCTTCGCTCAACGCGTTTTCTGCTGTTATTTTGTTTTTGTTTTTTGACAATAACGTTCCTTGGGCATTTGTTGAAGGCTCGGAAAGGAGACAAGAAAGAGTTTTTTATGTTGATTAACAGCATTATGTTCGGTTACCAGGTTATTAATTGTATTTGGTTGAGGGTTGTTTGCTTTTTTTGTGATTTGCTGTTTTGGCATTTCAAACTGGTGATTATTTGTTGTTCAGACGTCGATTGTGTTTGTTTGTGTATTTTGAAGTTCTGTTGAGACTTTATTTTTGAGTATATTGGCTTCACTTTTTTTTTGGTCTGGACTGCAAGGAATCAAAGACCAGTTCTTGTTTCCTGAGGCTGTTTCATTTCATGTTGCAGCAGAGTGTTGATATATAATGATTTTGACAATATAATTTTTTTGTTGCAGGACATATTGAGCTTGAAGAAAGTGGGTTGCTGAAGAAGGCATCTTGTTTTGGGTAAGTTCTTTTTTTTTGACAAAGGATGAATATCAAGTTAATCATCAAAGAATGCATCATGGCTGCCAATTTTGATGCTGGGCCTTAAAAGGGCGTGATCATCCATGATGATGCCCCTGGGTCCACTGACCCCTTGAAGAATTGGTTTTGGTGTTGGGCCAAGGGACTCCTTGTGGGTCTGAGCCCGAAGTCTGGCATGAGCAACTTTGGTGTGCTTCTCTTTGAGCTTGTCTCTCAGCTCTTTCAGCCTTGTTTCCCTGGGGAGAAAGATATAATCAGAGAGATTTTTGGCGTTGACCATTAAATACTGTGCTGTACATGCAGTATCTATACTGGAGTACAACACAAACTTTTCTTCTCAAACTTGTGGGGGGGAAAAACGGTTTTTTCAAAAAGTTTTAGAAATTAAGGTTTACATTATATTGCCCTTGATTCTATAATTGGAAATTTTGGACCAAATTATTTGACTGGAAACACTTTAAAATGAGTTGAATTCATGTCTGAATTCAAATTTTGCGTGTTCTTTTTTATAGTGTGGTTTCAGAGTCACCATAGATGGGGTGTGTGGTACTTGAGTAAATATGGTATTTTTGCAGGTGGATGTTTTCTGCAACAGAAGTTCAGGTGGACCAGAAAAAAATTCATTGTAGAGAGAACCCAAATGGAATACTGTAGTTGAAGAAACCCTCTGGGACAAAAAAGTCATGTTACAGAGACAATTTACCTGTATAGTGGAATCTTATTATAGCATTTTTTATGGTCCTTGGTTTGTAAAAAAAAATTTTTAATTAAATTTTGATGTAGCAAATTTTAAGTTTGTTGGCAGTTCTTCTCCAGGCCTCATAAATGGCTTTCTGTGCATGCATGTATCAAATGCATTTTTGCATTGTATGGTAAGTGTTTGTTGTGAAATTTTGTTGAAACAAAGCTGTTGTGGACCAAGCAGGAAACATTTTGTTTTTTAATCTTGTAAATTTAAACCTGAAGAAATTCCACCTGTAACATGCCCATTTAGCTGGGACCTAAAAAACACCTGATATGAACTGAGCAATTATTTGTTATAATGAGATTCTGTTATGCATGTACATAATTTTTGCATGTGACTATAAGAAACTCACCTATTATTTTCTGCTCCCTCAACTTGCTGATTGGCTTTGGTGACCTTCTCTATTCTGTCCCCTTCCACTCTTGAATTGGCAAGCTCCACTCTTTCTATATTGAGCCTCTTCACCTTTTGTTCCTCCACTTGCTGTGAATCAATAATTCAACAAATTTTGTACACCAACAATTTTTTTATGTCAGAAATATGCAACATGATTTTCAGTATATAATTATTTGACAGTTTGTTAGAGATCTGAAATAAAGGGGATGTCAGAATATGTTGTGTTGAAAATGTTTTTCCTTGAGTTACCTGAAGACTTGGCCTGAGGCTATATGTTAACAAATTTCTTGAATTCCAACTTCTTTTTATATGTGTGCTGGGCCCTCTGGACATTTTTCAAAATTTGCTGCACATATTTTTGGTTAAAAACACTTTTCCAGCACATCCCAATACTGTATCACTTTCTGACTTGCTGTGCTATAATATATAAATTCCAAGGGATTTAATTTATGCAAAAATTATTTTGACACTGGCATCCATGCAGCAGTTAATTAAAACCTTAATCTTAATAAAAGAGTGTGTTTTACTGATGCATAAAAGAATCAGTGACATAAATAAACTCTTTTTTATTATACTGACTATACATATGGCCTGTTAACTCAAATTGCTTGAAAATTTGGTTTTTCTGTCATTGGGACAAAGTTTGGATGACTATATGATACGCAGTATTAAAAAATTAAAAATAAATTTAAAACTGAATTTGATATTGACCTTCCTTCTATCTTCAGCCTTCTGTAGCATGATCTCTATGTCTGTGTTTGAGCTGATCTCCCTTTGATGTTGCCTCCTTCTGGCCTCAAGTTTGGACTGCAGTTTCAAAGGTGGTAAATGAGGCTGAGCAGATGAATTGAGCCTTGACAAGGTGTCACTCCTCATGCTTTCTGACAGACTTGCATTTGCATCAACAATCTCAAAGCTAAGAAAAAGGTTATATAAAAGATGAGAGTATATGATTTTGGATTTTTAATTTTTCACACAAATGAGATTTCTCACCAGAGACTTCCAGGTTTCTTGGAAGTGGTCACTGCCAAGAGTCCTTCATTCCTCAGAGTTTCCAGAACCTCTTGCTCCTCCAGTCTGGTTTTCTGGGACCCACTCAGCAGTCTTTTGCAAGTCACTCCCAGGATTGTTAGATCTTGAATTAGGGAATACAGAAAATATGAAGAATTTCCTGGGAAATTACCAGGGTTTTTATGATTCCTCACCCAGTTCTTCACTTGGTGGAAGAAAGTCTCTCTCAACTCTTGCTATCAGTTCTGGTGAAGAAAGCTCTGTGATGACAAAGCTGTATTCATCATCCAGCTCATACACTCCTGAATCTATGGAGTCATAGCTTGAGGCTGATGCCTTATTGTTTTTATGTTCTAGTCCTGGTCCTGAACCACCTCTTCTCAAGTCCAATGATTCCTTCAAAATTGAAACATGAGAGATTTTTCAAAATACTGACATTATTTGAGTTTCTTCTGCTCTTAGCTTTCCCAAAAATCTTGACCAAAAGTGTGGTTATGTGTGTAGTTCTCAAATTCTTTGTGAATCCTTCTGTGCATGCATTCTCTTTGGATCAAAAATTACAAATAATTTATGAAAGAGAATCAAATTGAATGCTATTATATACAACTTTTTTGAGTATAGATTCATCATTTTAATTGTTGACTTACTCTCTGAAATATGAACATTTTCACTGACAACAGAGGTGTGAGTCTTATGGATGTTGTGTGCTGGATTAGTTTGGGTCTAATTTTGCAGCTCAAAAATTAAGGTGCATATATGCCCCAATTATGCAAAGGCACCATCAAGAGTAATTGAGTAAATAATTTAGTCATTCTTCCAGTTTAATTGAAGGGAAGTTAATAAGCTTTCTGCTTTTAGTATTTCAAGACTGCTGTCTGACTTGAGGGTGCTTAATTATTGTTCAGCTCTTTGCTCTTCTTGCAAATGTCTCAATAACATACAGTATACTCACCCCAAGGTCACTGGTGTAAATAGAATGTATATTGTGAATGCTGCTGGAGTCAGTGCCACCAAGATCATCATCCTCTTCTTCTGCCAGTTGCTGCCTTTGAGGATCCCTCCTGTCCAAGAAGGGATCCCCCAAGTCAATTACCTCTAGGATCTCATTATGTCTTGCTTCCCTGTTGGTCAGGTTTGGGACTCTGTCTGAGCTTGCAGAGTCTACCTTGATTGGCTTCTGGTCTTTACTTTCCCCACAACCCATCTTTTTTTGGTCTCTTGATAATTTCAAATGTAATATTTTCTTTAGATTTTAAAACTTAATCCATTACCTTTTAAATTTTCCAAAGGCCTCACTGACTCTTGGCCACCATCAAAAATATATACTGTATACAGTCTGTCTCAAAATTTGAAAATACAATGAATGTTTATATACAAGTCAATTCAAGTTTCACAACTACATACATCAGAACTGCAACATATGATTTTGAACCAAAAGTTCAATTAATGCATTTTATTTTACAGTACACACTTCTGCCATGTGTGTTTTTTTCAACAGTTTTGTAGTAAGCATGCACTTTTTAGTTGACAGGATTTCATGGAATTTTTAAAATACAGTATAATTTACACCTCTTCTGGAGAGTTAAATCACTTCCAACACTCATCATTGTTCATGCTTGGGATTGGTGTATTGTATGGTTTGGAATATATACTGTACAGGGAATTGATCATAAAAATTGTTCCAACAAATCATATACAATATTGCATGTATTTCTTCCATGCCAGTTATTCCAACAGTCATGTAAAGAGCTTTAATTCAAAAATTTAGTTGATTTTGTGTACATATCATTCATGGGGAGAAAAATGAGGGAGAAATAGACAACACTGGCTTTTTTTCATGACATGATGAATTCTATATTGGTTCTGCTGTCAAAGTTGTAATTTCCCCCATTTTGAATTTGTTTCAAGGGTTTCACTGATGGTGGGCTCCCTTTTCTTCTGACATGCATAGAGTTTGATTGTTGAAAATTCAGCTTGCATATATGCATGAAATAATTTCTTTATTTTTTTTTTCAAAACGTGAACATTTTGTTGGGGGATGGGTTTCACACTGCATGCAGCTGAAGGTTATGCAGGGGCAAAAGTAACTGCTGGTAAAGTCAGGGTCAACCAACTATGTGCCCCTTGGCAGCTCCCTGGCTGACTATTGATCTCTTGGGCAATTGTTGCCACAATGCATGGCCAGCCACTCCGATCATTCATTTAGGAGTGAAATATTGGAGCATGCGCCCTTTATTGCTGCTATGGCACCTCTTTATGGGATTGACCTTGCGTGTCGGCTAGCTGCAGCAGACGATGGGGGTTTTCTTTTTGTGCAGCCCTACATTTCATGAGTTCGTCAGCCATGAACATGGTTGCATGCAGAGTATGTACTGCACAGCAGTTGGACACCTTTGGTGTAAAGTCTTTTGCAATTAGCGCGGCCTTGGGGCTTCGCCTCATATTGACGACCCAGATAGGGTACTGAGGTACAGTATTTTTGGTTGACGCGTAGAAAAGATGTCGCTGTCATCGACCCTTCAAAATCTCCATGACTGACTATACAGTAATTTATAATACTGTAAGTGGTATGTGTGGTCATTGGGTTCGTCACACCATTCCAGGTTGCATTTGAATCCATTCTGAGAATAAACTGACTTTGCAGCACTGAAGGAGAGTTATTGTTTTCATTATGACTGAAATTTTCCAAGATCATGCCACATCATCTCTATCTGTGGCTTGCTTTTACTGCTGGAGAGTTCTTCTTTGTGGTGTATATCCTTCAATCATACAAGCACACCTAAAATTAGAAAAAAAAACCGTTTACCTGTCCGTGCAACTGTAGAAAGCGCTGTAAGTCCTCCTTGTGGCGCAGTATTTTGTACTGTATTTACAAGGGTTAATTCTATGGTACAGTAATCAGTACTGCCAGTACTCACAGCAGTAATGTAATGTCCTGTACAGGAAAGAAAACCTCTCATGCTTCAGTGTAAGTGCGACATCAAGTATTATGAATATGAACCATTAACTTCTGGTTCGGCATTGTTTGTCATGCATGAAGAATCAAGGTTGAAGATGTGTCCATCATGGACATGCTTCTTCTGCCGTAGGGTGCATGGTATACTGTCCGGTACAGTTCAAAGAGGCGTATAACGTAAACATTTTGCAATGCACAAAGCTCAGTGTTGGAACGAAGGTCATTACTAGCAAGTTTGCCGGGAAATTGGCGGATGTGAATGAAGAATATTTTGAGTATGGGTTCGGTGAACATGCTTATCTGTGATTTTGTAACGAGCTTGCGTGCGTGATCTTCCTGGGAGTTTTGTCACTTTGGGATTGCAAGACGGACATGGTGTAATGATTGTTTTGTGTACTTTTCGCTTTCAGATGAGCTGGGGTCTGGGCTGTTGTGTTAATTACAATGGGAGGAGCCGCGCAGCTCAGCTCAGTCTCTGAATCTTTTTGTGCCCGAGATTTCTGTTTTCCGTGGTGACTTTTTGAAGATGCTTTAAAGCCAAAACCCTGGCTTTCTTCCGGATCTAAGCATCTCGCGTGTTTTACCCGTTTATCCAACTGTGTACCTTAAGCTTAAAATAATATAGAACTAGCCATGGAATGGCGCAACGATTCACGGACCAGTCGCCACCGAGAGAGCGACAGAGACGATGTCACTGACGCGAGTGAGTTCTACTTCCCTGGTGATCTGTTGTATTGGAGTTTTCACGGAAAAACAATGTTATTAAGGTCCGAGTCCGCAGCCTGAGAAAGAGCTTGCTACGAAAGTGCTCGTTATTCAGTCAAAGCGCTTCTACTTGGATGTGAAAGAAAACAAGCGTGGGAGGTTCATCAAGATCGCTGAGGTTGGTTTATTTGAATTGAGTAAGTGTACCTTTTTCTGAAATGTATGCTTCGAAATGACAGATCTCAGCGGATGGAAGGAGGAACCAGATTTTCTTCGCTCTGTCTACCGCCGGGGAATTTCGCGGGCAGTTGACCGCATTTAGCGACTTTTACTCGGGACTCGGTCAGTGAATCTTAATTTATCAAGTGTTTTTCTGCTGTGGTTCTTCGTCCGCGGAAGGATTCCATTGACATGCGCTGTTCTCAGCGGTAACTGAAGTGTTGAACGTCTCATTGCGAACATGATCTTTCGAATTGTAGTGTAGTACTTGCTGTGACTTCAATTGTGTGATTCATCACTAAGATCCGTTTTTGTGCTTCGTTTCTGTCAATTCATTCTTTGATGGTTCAAATGTGTATTTCCGGTTTCAGGACCCCCGAATCCCGATCACGGTCCAGAAGATGGGAAGCTCAAGTCGGAGTCGATTTCGAAAGACAACCGCCGTTATTATTTAGACCTCAAGGAAAACGCTCGTGGGCGATTCCTGCGGGTGAGTCTCATCCTTATTCATATATCTTGAGGATGTGCTTGAAGATGGGTTCGTGATAGGTTTCGCAAACTGTGGCCCGAGGTGGTCCCAGGGCGCAGATTGCGATTCCTGCTCAAGGAATGATTGAGTTCCGGGATGCCCTGACGGACTTGCTTGAAGAATTTGGCACTGAAGATGGAGCTGCCAGCAAAGACGATTTACCGGAAGGAAAGCATCTCAAGGTGGAGAACAAGAACTTCTACTTTGACATCGGGCAAAACAGCCGTGGTGTCTACATGCGCATCTCTGAGGTATGAATATTTTGCTGAGAATTTATTCGATGAATTTTCGTATCTAAATATCAAGTACTTTTAGTATTTATTCACGCCTGATCGTTGAATTTTAAATTTTTTTTTTGAGCAGGTGAAGACAAACTTCCGGACATCAGTAACCATCCCGGAAAAGTCGTGGTCGCAGTTCCGGGACGTGTTCACCGAGTATGTGGACAAGATGAAGGATGGTGTGTTGAACGTGGGCGACAGTGCAAAGAACTGACTACTCTCCAGTTTCCGGCTCGTGCAGAAAATAGAATCTAGCGCATTTCCTGTGTCGTCTCACCATTTGGTCCTGTGATAAAAGAATCGTCTCTCGCTTGAAAAAAAAATTCTCGTCCCTCCCTTGTCTGCCAATTTTTATTACGTTGGTGTTAGTGCGGTATGAAGAGCAATTTTTAGACACGTAAGTTCGATGAGATGGGATGTAATGTAAAGAAGGAGTTTTTTTTAGACGAACGGGGTTCTTGTGCCACGGGACCATGGGTGAGGATGACTGCGGGAAGATATGCGCTGTAGATGCGAGATTGGGTGGTGAAGAAATTCTGGCGGCTCTCTGAAAAAGAAAGACGAAAGAAAGAGAAAGACGAGGAATAGTTCTAGTTTATTACTTGTTCGTTTATATCCGAAAGAGAAAGAAGAAAAACCCCTTTTTTTCGCGCGTTGGATACCGAGTCTGTGATGGGAATGAGCTGATTGAAAAAGGGCTCCATCGACCCCGGTTTTAGTGCAGCGGACTTTGCTTGGTTCCCAGTCAGTGAGTATGTATTACCCCGGTGAAGGAATAGCTTTGGTCTTGGAGGCATTCAGAGGTGCACAGTGTTGGGCCTTTGTGTCTCTGTGCCTCGTGGTTCAAGCCGCCCAGCGTCGACTCGGTTTTGTTTGTGGTTTTTTTTTTTTTTTTTCTGCCAGGCATTTGGTTGCTGTAGCCCTCGTCTTGTTTGCCGGGCTCAGGACGCGCCCGGGCGACTTGCAAATATTTTTTGACGGACGCGTGAATGACGTTTTTTGTAGCTTCTTTTGGGGACGGAGGAGTTTGGAGGGATGAGAATGCTGGTGCAAGATGCAAGCAATTCTAGCTTTGTTCAAGGTTCTCTTTGGAAGTGATTCGGCGACTGGATGATTGTTACTTGGATGGATAAAAGATAACCTTGCGCAAGTGAAGAAACCCACCCTCCTGCATCGCTTGATACGATTTTTCCTACCTGAAAAATATCGCATGGAGCAGCGTTCCCCGATCCGTGGTCCGCAGGAAATGTTCTCTAGTTCAAAATAATTAATCAGAAGTAGCAATGAAGGATGATACAGTATCTTTATCTGAAATTTTTTAAGATGATGGCAGTTGAAATTATCTAATGAAAAAGAAATTTTGGCTTTCCTCCCAGTAACACTTACGACAAATGTTTAACAACAAAGTAAATTCTAATTTTTCATTCTGAGAAACCTTTCTTCAAACCCCATTTCTAATATTTTGAAGATATTCCACCATAGCTGCTTCATTAATTATTAATTTTTTTCAAGTGCAGAAACTTTTGGAATACCTGCCATAAACTCTTTTAAGCAAAATGTTTTTGATTTTGTCAAAATTTTATGAAACTGCACTGCAGAATTGTTTTGGGAAATTTGCCAGTCTGCGGGCCCAAAAAGGTTGGGGATCACTGACCTAGAGGTTTTTCCTGTCTGTGTCACTAAGAAAAGTATTGTATTTAATCAAGTACCATGTTTAACTTTTTTTGCAACAAAAAAAAAAAGAGGTGCGCATCACAGTTGGGCATTAATTTTCACATTTTTCAAATTTCTCTTCTAGAATGATTCTATGCTAAGCGCATGAGGTATAAACATCAACATTAAATTGGACTTTTGTACAGATTTTTACCCGGTGTAGTTTTTAAAACATGCATTTTGGGAACTGAAAAAAAGGTGTTTGTCTAATTCAGGGAATCATTGTTTTTCAAAATTTGAGCTAAAAAGGTGTGTGTGGTACTTGAGTAAATACAATAATCAGCACAGATGAAAACCCTTGGATTGTTTCTCCCAAGTTCAACTGAAGGGTGTCACTCTTTGCAAAGCCCAATCTTGTGAGGGGTTTTCTCAAATTTGTTGAATTGAATTTGTAAGAATGAGTCAGAATTCATCAAAAATTTGGCATGGAATAGTGCAAACATCTGTTTGCTTGGACATAAATTCCTTCAGTTTTGCTCAGCAATGGACATGTTCGGGCAAACTTCTAATTCCGTTTCACTAGCATGAAGATTGACGAGATCAAAACAAATTTTTCATTCAATAATGTTTTGTTGAAGTGTGTGGAAATTCATTGAAAATTTAAAAAAAAATAGATCTTCAAGTTTCGATATACTGTCATTGTTTTCATGATGGATACGATGTTTACGAGGAGAATCGTAGAATTCCCCTTGCACTTACATACAATTTTTGATGTATCTGCGTTTAAATTTTTACAGAAGTAGTGTGTGATGGATAATTAAAATATGACTAAATTTATGAAACCTGTTGACAAGTCAACAAAAACATTCATTAAAATGCAGCAAAAATAATCGGAGACTGCAAATTTGAGTGATAGCCCCATCAGTTGAACTTGTGTTAGTGTTTACAAAGCTGAGAAAAATCTTGCTTCGCGGTGACATTGAATCATTTTTTTGTTGTTGTTGCAGAGAATCCGAGTGATTTTTTTTACTCCTGTCTGCCAATTGAAAAAAAAAAGAAAAAATGCAGAAGAGAGGAATGGCAGGGTTGATATGAGCACACCTGGTCAGAAACTAGTTGGGTACTGGTTGCCCGAAAGGAAAAAACAAAAGTTGGACCTTGATGGGGTCGCACAAATCCTCAGGTGAGTTTTTCACCCGATTTCTGAGTTCATTTAATCCTGTGGTTTTTGCCCGTGTGATTACCCCCATCGTTTTTTCTCTTTCTTCCTTTTCCTCCTTTTTGCCTTTTTTTTGTCTTCCATCCCTATCCTTAGACGCAGCAATGTGGAGTTCCGGGAGGTCAGTTTCTGGTAGACCTTTTGGGATTAGTTTTCTGTTGGGTTGGCCCCAGAGAGGCTCCTTTTCCTGATGATGATGATTAATCGCTTGTTTGACTAATTTTGAACAGAAGTTGTCTTATTTATGGAAAATTTTGACCAAAAAAATGCTCATCTCACCTTGCATGAGGTCCTACGCTTGGCTGGCAAAATTATGATTTACTGTATATACTCAAATACTACACGAATCCTTTTTTTTTTCTCGAAATTTGTGAGGGAAAAATGAGGATACGTGACAAAACTTGTTAACTAACCTTTGTATTCTGGCCTTTTTTTAATCTTGAATATCGGTTTTTCTTACATCTGTGATTTTACCTATTTTTTGTTGAATAAAATACAGCATTCAAATTTGTGCAGTGAAAATATTTTATTGGAATTTGACCAAATGCAAGGTGGGAATAGCTGGTGAACCCGTTGTTTTTTTGTGTTGACTAATATTGGCTATCTGATTGTTTTTTAATGTTACTTGTATGTTTTCATGAATCTTCTTTTTTTGCATGGGTTTTGTTTTGAAACAGAGTGGTCATTAATTTCTGCCTCGTGATATTTTTTTTGTTAGTTTGTTTGTAAATATGAAGTGCGAATTTTTTAAGGTGGGGATGTTTGATGTAAGGAAAAGAAGCAAGCCTCTTTGGGTGCCCAACTTGGCAGATTCAGCTGTGGGCCTTTATAGAACGATTTTGGCCTGAGCTCTGGATGGCCAGGTTTTTTATGTTTGCAGATTGACGTGCATCAACCGCTGGTGTCCCAAGGGCCATTTGATGTCATTGTGCACAAGCTTGATTCCATGCTCCCAACAACTGACGAGGACGGAGAGGTTTGTTGTACTATGACTAGAGTGAATAAATTATTGTTGAAGCTTCAGCTCTTTTTTTGGCTTGCAGAAGATTGAAACTGTTTTGAAGGGTTTTGAAGACTACTGTGCCAAATATGATGTGGAGTTGCTGGAAGCTCTGGGTCCAGGGGATGTCTTGAGAGATAGATTGGCCATGTGTCATTTGCTGGCTGAAGTTTCCAGCGGGATGAAAGGTAACCTTACATTGTTTAGTTGATAAGTTTTGTCCTTTCTTTATGTATTCCTTTTGATGGGTACACCATCTTAACATGTAATGCTGCATTAGTTCTTGACAACTGTTGAAATTGAGCTACAAGACAAACTTGGAATTGCATAATACTGTATGTACTTGTGTACTATGTTCACTTTGAAAAAATCAAAACTTAGAGGTGAACAGGCAGGGATAAGATATTTAAAAAATGTAGAAAGTTTAGGTGCGCATCACAATAGAATGGATGTAATGGAAAATACTGAAGAGGAAAATTTTCAAAAATAGACACATTGAAAATTAGTTGGTAGAATTTATGTTCAAATAGGAATTCTGATGTCTCTTGATAAAAGCAATATTTCAGTCATTAAAAATAGGGTGCACATCTTACTTGATAGAATTTTATCAGAATTTTAGGGTGGGAAATTGGGGTGTTTGGTACTTGAGTAAATACAGTATTATTGTGAGGACATATACTTTTACTACCACTTGTGAATGTTACACACCACTTTCATGCAAACTGCTCCCAGACATTTGAAACAGAGAAGAAATATCCTCAGTGACAGAAGAAATGACTTGCTCCCAGCTATTTTTATATCCGTAATGCCAAATATAGAGGCTTTACTAGAATATCAGTTGATGGGGGAGAGCTTGGCCAAGGCATGACTGCACTTACAGAATAGAAAATCTCTAGCAAAAATAACAGGTTGATCCCATAGTTGGTTGGAGAAGTTTGGCTCAGTTTTGTGAACTTAATTTTTAAGCGCTAACGTGACGTGTGAACATTTTTCAAGTACTGCGCAGTACTTGAGTAAGATAAAATTTAAATATCTCTGGGTTTTTTTTTCTTCTTGAAATCCAGGCGTTTTTACCCCGCCGTTTGCCTTGCTGGTGAGACCTGATGTGAATGAAAACCGCCAGATTCTAAAGGAAGCTGGTGTCAGCTTTCCATGTGGCAAGTATCAATTTACTTATATTCTTTTATTCCCGAATGTAAGATATAAAATTTTTTTTATTTCGTCTGTTTTAGTGCTGAAACCTTTGGAGTCCAAGTCACACCATGTAAGTTTATCGGATATTACTTTTTTTTCGTCTGGAGCTCATGGACATCTTTATTTTCATGAAAAGCAGAAATTGGAAAGGTTTGTGTTGGTTTTTGCAGATGGCCATGGTATTCCATCCTGGGGACCTGGACAAATTTGAGTACCCGTGTGTAGCCATGTCGTTTGTGAACCACGATGCAATTCTCCACAAGGTCTTCATTGTGGGGAATGAAGTCGAAGTGGTGTTGAGGCCATCCATTCAGAATTTAATTGCTGGCGATTTGCCTATGGAGCGGTTTCACTCTTCAAGGGTCTCCAAACCCGATGCTGATCATCCATTGATTGGTGAATATTTTCAACTAATTACCGTACTTCTGAAAATAGAAGGACACCCAATTTTAACATCTCAAAAGCCAGGGAGGAGGTATGCGTATATTCGAGCCATTTGCTTGAATATGCGTCTACCGTAAATCAGGACATCTTACTGTTTTTTGGCCCATAAATCGATAATGCACTACATTTCTTTCTTTTTTTCTTTTATGAAGTTATGAATATAATCGGTCAGCTTCTGGAACTTCGAGATGCATGAGTCATCGGCTGTAGAGGAAAAGTAAGAGTTTTGCGACGCCATTTCTCCTTTTGTGGGGAAAACATAAATTTAGTCGGAAATTTTAAGGTCCGAAAACCAGAAATTCAGAAGACCAGGGTTGCTATTTTCGCCTATTAGTGGGATTATAATTTTGAGCATGAAAAATTCAGGGGGTGCGTTTATTAATTGTATGATGCATGAGAAGGTAAGAAAATTGAAAGAGTGAATGTCCATCTTTTTTCAGAGGACTGAATTCGATTAATCTGTATTATGATGTGTAAATTTTTCGACTGTTTTAGAAGATGTTGGTATTCTTTTCATGGGATCTTTTTTTTTTTTTTTGCTGCGAAATCAATTAATTTCTACATTAATTGATGCGTTTAATTAATTTTAGGCCCATGTGCTGCAACGCGACGTCGTCGAGCTGACAATGCCAAGCGATTGGACTTTAATATCGCAGCAGCCATTGGGAAACGGTGTCGGGAAAGAACTGGGATGAGGCTTTTGGGTGTGGACGTGGTGGTCGATTCCACGACTGGTCACTACGGCCTCATTGATATCAACAAATTCCCGGGTTCGTCAACTGCTCATGTTTGTTTGTTAGCATTTGTTTTTTGTGAGGAGTTGGTGAGACGAAATTTTGTAATTGTCTGTAAATTGTGTGATTCAATCATGGTGGACGTTGTGGAAAATCTGTTGATTTTGTTTGAGCATTTACGTGTGAATGAAAATACTGGTGGACTGTTTCCACTACAAAATTCAAGGGACCACAAAAATATTCGTTATATAGTCCGCCTGTATCATTACTGGCTTGTGCTCAGAGGGAATCATCTTGATTAATGGATTTTTAATTCCTTCATTGTCTAATCAAATGAAGGAATTCTCTTGCAATTTCTCCTCATCGTTGTTACCTATCGAGTTTTCGTGTGACTTGCGAAACTTCTGAGAAAATAATCAACCTTTAGCCTGACTTGAACCTTGAAAAGCATGGTTTTGAATTCGATTCTTGTTTTAAAATTTTTATTGGCGTCTTGAGGTTTATCTGGAATAACTGTACAGTGAGTCCCCGTAAAACGAAAGACTCGAACAACGGAAAATCTGCATTTCATAAATTCCTTAGGGGGAAAACGTGACTCGAATTACGAAATTGTTTCACTTGACATAATTTTTCGGCCGGAAAACGCCCGAATTTCGGAAAATTTCCTATTAAGATTTTAGAATTTTTCAACGAAACCCAGAAAAATTGTCTAGGAGGGGTGTTTTTAGTTTTGCTTTTTCTTGATTTTAAAGTTGACGGTAAAAAATTTTCAGGATCGCTTGAATTTAGCACTAATTAATTTTAAAAACACAAATTTGTCCTTGAATAATATGCGGTTCCTACGGTTTTTTAGTGTTTCTCGCTCGCATTAATTAATTTATAATGTAACTCTAAGATAAATTGTGTTTCGCATTACAAAAAACCCAAAAAATAATTTTTAACCTGACCATTAATTAATTACCGTATTTTAATGTAACCTGTGAATTGATTGAATTTTAATTTTACCTCAAGGGAAAATGCGTTTCACTTTAAGAAGAATCCACGATTTTTATCATTTTGTGGGGACCCACTTCGTTCAAGAAGACAGGAAAAAATGTGGTTGTATCACGTGTACCCGTGTTTATAGGATCTTCCCATTGAATCTTTCACAGGATACGAGGGTATGGAGAACTTGGCCCAGCACATGGCCAAACTATTGCTGCAAGTGCTTAAAGAACGAGATGCCGGAGCATTCATCCTTGGGTCTTCTGAGCATCACTGCCAGATGGATTAACCGCAGACTTGGAATTTTATTTTCATACTCACCCCCAATGTGTTAACTCACCCCGCCCAATTTTTGTTTTGTTTTTATAATGCCAACGCAAGTTGCGAAACTGCTGCAGATATTCATTCATCTCAGGAAGAAGAGGGATGAGGAGAGAGATTTAAACGAAGGGGGGGCTATTGGTTTTGTACGGATTCGGGAAAAAGGAAAAAAAAAAAGAACCCTGGTACTTTCAGTGTGATATAACCTCTGCATTACTTGGGTTTCTCCGCAGTTCAATAAAGAGAGCAGGAATACTCACGGATGTCGGAAAAGAAAAAGGAAAATCCGAGGCTTGAGAAGGATTACTTTTGCTTGAATATTTCATTCATTTTCTTTCTTGGCATATCTTGGTCTTTCTTTTATTTTATGGAAAAAAAGAGGTGTGTGATCTGTATGGTGTGTCTCAGGAGGTGCTGGGGGTGGTGTGAAGATGTCGCGCTTTGTCCTGAAGCCGTCTGCGCTGAGCAAACAGGCCTCTAAGCTGGAGTATTATGCTACTGATGACGCAGGTGAGGCAGACTTCTTTCCTGTTCTTTTTTTGAGAATTCCTTAGTTTTGCAGTGGGGAAGCTTTCTTTGATGATAACGGTAAAAATAAAATTATTCTGACGAAGCCAGTTGTATGGTTTGTTGGACGGAAAAATTCTTTATGAAGTAACTCATTCAACGTTTTGACCATTGGATAGAGATTAAAGACCAAACAAAATAAATGCTTTTTTTTGTGAGCACTCAATTTTTTATAATGAGTTTCATTTTACATTCAGACATTAAGGGACCAGCGAAAGGATTCTATTTTGGGAGTTCTTGACTTGAGCAAACGAGCATTTTTGTTGTGGGGAATGGAAGAATTACAGGAAATTGTAATTGGTGATATTCTAGACCTTGAATATATTTTTTAATGAGTTGATAAGATGCTGAACTTGGAGGCAAGGGTTCATCTGCCGAATTATCCTTCCACTTCCTTTGAAAACGCATCAAGTTGCATTTTCGTTTTTTTTTCTGTCAATAAAATCATGGTCAAAAGGCTTCCAGAAAATATGAGTTCTGAGGAGGAAAGCCTTTCAGTTAAGAGACTTTATAATGGAAGCTGTCTGTAAGAGTTAATTTTTTTTTAAATCGCTGATCACCTTCGAACTGACATTATTTTACAGGGTATGAAAATTCATTCTGGTGTTCGTGAAAAATTTTGCGATTGCATTATTTTTCTTCTTTTTTTTTCTCTAGGAAGTGCGAAAAAGCCGCGACTGGACACAGACAAGGATCCGGAAGAAACAGACGAGAAGAGCAAATCCGAAGAGAAGCGGAATGAAAGTGAGAACCAGAACCCCAAGACGGGTGAGATGGTGAAATTGCCTGCGGCCCCGGTCTTTATGCCAGACGCACCCGTGGTTCTCCCACCCTCGGCAACTCCTTCCCAATTTATCTTTGGCACAAACGTGAGAGACCGTGTGGTTGGTGTGGATCTGAATGCCGAGGATGCCAGCAAGGAAGACGATTCCGAGAACAATGGTCTCAACAATGGCGAGAAGAGGGCTGAGGAACCTGAATTGAGCAATAATGGTAAGAATTTCTTTTTGTGAGACGAAGTCGGTTTTTCTCTATTTAGTCTTTGATGCGAAATATCTTATTGGTGCAGTAAAAAAAAAGACCCTTGATTGAATTCGATCACGTTTTTTTGTTGAGTTTATTATGTTTCAGTACAGTACTTGTTTCTTACCATCTACTTACAGAGAAGGTAGCTTATTCATACAAGTACAGTACCACATGAACCTTTTTTCTCAAGATTGAGAGTGAAAAGCAGTTGGAAATCATCTGGAACAAGCTGATCTCTTTGTGCTTTAATTTGTGCTCAGTAATTTTTTTGCTGTGATTTTTGTCATTCATAGAAAAAATGATGGAAATTCATGATCCATTCATTTGTATGTACTGTCATGTATTTTCTTAGAATACCAGTTACCCTTGGTTAACGAACTTGATTGATTCCAGACAAAATTTTGTAAACCAAATTTATTTTCCCATAGACTTGAATGGGGAAGAATTTTATCCACTCTGTGTGCCCGAAGGACAATTGAACATTGAATATAAAAAAAATTCAAGACCATCAACTGTAATGAGAATAAGTTGTTGCTGCATCTTATGTGAGCCCAGAATGTTTTAAGTGTTTTATGGAAGTACCATTGATGAAAAGAAATACAGTATAAAGAAGCTTCACATCCAGATAAATGCATAATTTAGGATGCATATGTCTGGTGAAAATGAAATTTCTTGTTTCAATGCTGCAAGTAAAGATCAAATAGACCTTTCTGGCTCTTTAACGAGTATTGATAAACCAAGCACAGAAAAAGCAAATAATTCTGTCACAGAAAAGCATGTATGAATATTGTAGCTGAAACAAATTTTAAAATACAAGCTCACGAATATGAAAGTTCTTCCCTTCTGTCACGCTGATATCAGTGCAGAGGCGAATTATTTGCACTTGGATTGTACCGTCAATTTCAGCCTTGAAATCAAAATAAAAAAATTTTAATTTGTAATTTTCCCCCAGAAAAAAGTTCAACGGAATTTTGGTTTCTTAACCAAGGGATTTTTGCTTAAACCCAAAAGTTTGTTATCCGAGGGTCCACTGTTTAGGAAATATTTTTATTATATTTATGTATTTTTTATTGTATGCGGGATGGGTGAAATGTATGTGTGGAAGCATTTTTTGAATTTGTGAATGCAAACAAAATTACGTTGTGGTTTTTTTTTTCTGAGAGAGAGAGAGAGAAATATTTTTGAAGACGACGTTTTTGAACATTTTCCCTGACAGGTGAAAGTGGCGGAGAAGAAGGTGCCAAGAGCCTTTCCGAAAGCGCCGCGGAATACGAGCGACGCCGCGACGAGGCCCAAGGCGAGCAGCGACGTCTCCTCTATTCGGAAGTCGTCGTCACGACCGGGGAAGAAGGCGAGAAGAACGTTCTTCATTTATCCTGCAAACTCTATGCCTTTGACGCCGCCGACCACAATTGGGTGGAGCGTGGACGCGGGGAATTGCACCTCAACGACGACGTCGTCGACGACGACGGAGACGGAGAACCCGGAAAAGGCGGCGGTGGGATGTCGAGGATCGTGATCCGAACCCAGGGATCCCTGAGGGTCGTGCTCAACTCCCGCGTGTTTCCCGAAATGACGGCGCGACGGGTGCGGGAGAAGACGGTGGAGTTCACGGCCGTCGCCGACGACGCCGTGGTCAAGATCTTCCTGGTCCAGCTGTCCAATGCTCACGATGCAGAGTTGCTGCATCGCAGTCTGGAGGAACGGATCCGACGACTGCGCGGAACAACAACAACGACGACAACGAAAGCAGTCGCTGCGCGGAGTACAAGAGAAGAGCGAGATGAAGAAGAAGCAGCAGCAGTAGCAGCAGCAGACATAGTGGAAGGGGAAGAAGAAAACGAAAGTAGAAAAGAGGAAACGGCTCTCTGATCTTCCCATTCTTTCCCAGAAAGAATTGTGAAGGAGGAGAGAAGAAGCCGGCTTTTTCCATCTTCCCAGTGTAATGTGACAGCCTTTGAATGGAAAATCGTGTGTAAAGGGAAAAACTGTTTTTTTTTTCTCTCCTCAAATGAGACGAGTTTTATAATTATTTTAGAAAACTTATATGAAGTGTTCAGTTTAAACTCATATTGAAGTCCTTGTTGAGAGACCTACTTGACTTACGTTATTTTGTTTTTTTTTGGAGGTCTTATTCTAGCATTTATGTCTAGTCTTCATTTTAAAAGTACTGTATCAGGTCTTATTTCACTCAGATTTTATTTTGAAGTCTCATCTTATCTTGAAGAATCTTGGAATAATGAATTTTAGAAGATTCTTATGTTGACCAATTTTTTAAAGAAGCTCGGGGTTATTGACGACCTAATATAAATGAGCTTAGTTTTAGGGTGCGATGACTCTTTTTATTTTGAAAATACGATGGTTATGAGTTCTGGTTATGCTTTCATTTCTTAGGGACTTACAGATTTTCTTCTCAATAAAAAGATCCGAACCAAGGAAATATCTTGGTAGAACAGGTCTGAGTTGAATATTCCGTGTGCTGAGTTTACCACATGTAAGATAGTATATTGGAGAATTAAGCGACGGTTAATTTTATTGATCAGTAGGAAAATGGAGTAATTGAATAAATGAGTTTTTATTTCGGTATTGACAAGTTTCAGCGGTTTTTTGGTATTCAGAAAAAAGTGTAGAATGGATTCGCTGGAAAATCCAAATATAATTCTCAATTCCTGATTTGTCGGATGATTGAAAACTCTTCAGAGCGCAAAGGTTTGTTTTAAAGACCTGGGTGCCCTTGTGGGGCTTCTCGAACTAAGATTTGAATTGTAAAACGTCACAATAACTGAGTTCTTTTTTTTTCTGAGGACAGGTTGTCATGTTACACTGGCAGTTTCTGCAGTTGTGCTTTTTTCTGCAGTTTTTCTTCTACATGCTTCTTTGTATGCGCGTCTTGAATCCAGGGTTTTGTGAGTGCTTTTTATGAGAGAATGAGGTATGAGGAAATATATTCCGCTCGACAATTTCATGAAAACAGATTTTTGTTTTTATTTCCGGCTTTCTGCATGAGTTGATGTTCCAATTTGGCCGCAATCGTTTAATTTTTTTGAAAATGCTTGAAGAATGAAAAAGGAAAGTTGAATAAAAGTGGATTGATTTCAAAGCATTGGTGCTTCAAGTGAATTCCTCAAGAATTGTTCAGCCTTACATAAACTTGGATCTAAATGGATGTGTTCATTCAAGACTGCTTGGATGATTTGTAACCCATCAAAACGTTGAAAACTGGCGGAAGAAAGTAAAATCCTGTTGGAAGACATCTCCCAATTTTTGGGCGCAGAAAAGAATTTTTTTCTTGACCACTCCTGACAAAAGCGCTGTTCAGTTTTTACAACCTCCCATGATGGCTGCATGTGGGTTGTTTGAAAGCCTAAAAATGAGCATGCGGTATCCATTTAAACACTTGTACAAGGCTTCCCACAACAGAAGTTGGTTCTTTTTTTCAAAAGTGTTCTACATGAGTAGATTTTTCTGGAAAAATGCTTATTGCACAGTTGGAAAATGGAAAAGCCACCTAAGTACTGTACTGTAATGTGATGTAACTTGCATGTGCTCATAGACTTACTTAAAGTGCTCTGGCAAAGCTTGACGTATTTTTTAGATATGGCGATGTCCTAATTCATCTGCTGGAATCTTAATTTCCGGATGAAACTTAGTTCGCGATGCGCGAGTTTGGACCGCGGTGGTGAAAGCAAAAAATTGTCGCTACCTTCAGTGAGCGCATCTTATTTGAGTGAATTTTAGACCTCATCGTCTGAAATCATGCGAAACTGTAGTTGGATTGTACATTTGTGAAAATCATATCGTAAACCTGACAGTGGCCTTTTCAATTTCAGGCTTTCGTCCTGATTTCCCCTCGTGCTTTTCATCGGAACACCAGGAAGTAAAAAGTAGCCATGAAGGTGAGATCAAAAAGATATTTAGTTCGTTTACGTTGCGTTTCAAATGTTCCTTTCGATTTCCACAGTTGAACGTCTCGAACCCGGCGACTGGTTCTCAGAAGCTCTTCGAAATCGACGATGAACGCAAGGTCCGCTGCTTTTACGAAAAGCGAATGGCTCAAGAAGTAGAAGCCGACTCTATTGGCTTCCACAGTTGAACGTCTCGAACCCGGCGACGGGTTCTCAGAAGCTCTTCGAAATCGACGATGAACGCAAGGTCCGCTGCTTTTACGAAAAGCGAATGGCTCAAGAAGTAGAAGCCGACTCTATTGGCGATGAGTGGAAGGGCTACGTGTTCCGCATCACCGGCGGCAATGACAAACAAGGCTTCCCCATGAAGCAAGGCGTGTTGACCAACCAGCGAGTTCGTCTTCTGATGAAGAAGGGCCATTCCTGCTACCGGCCGCGTCGCAATGGTGAACGGAAACGGAAATCCGTCCGCGGATGCATCGTTGACGCCAATATGTCCGTGTTGAGTTTGGCAATCATCAAGAAAGGCGAACAGGTTCGTGATCCTCGAGCAATGTAGTATATTTTACGTTTAGATGGGGGTCTTAACTCGTGGTACTGTTCGTAGTTCTAGTACAGTACTAGCTGGGTGATTCGTAGAATATTTCTTAGAACGTAAACGGTGCCCCTCCAAGGTCAGAACGTGAGTTGTGAAATCAGGCGACGAACGGGTCGGGTAGATTAACGATTTGAGCATCCGGACGTATGTTTTTTAAATCAACAGAAATATTCTCAACTCAATTTCAGGGGGAAGGCTTGTTTGAGAAACTAGCGGTCTGATTTGTGAAAAGTGCTCTGTACTCAAGGTGGGTTAGATCGTGGGAGAGGCTTATTCGAAGACTGTACTTGGAATATTGCGTAAACGTTGCGTATTCCGGCTTATTTTCGCAGGAAATTGCTGGATTGACTGACGTGAATGTGCCTCGTCGCCTTGGTCCCAAAAGAGCGAGCAAGATCCGCAAACTGTTCAACTTGACGAAAAAGGACGACGTTCGTCAATACGTGATCAAGCGTCCGTTGCCAGTGAAAGATGGCAAGAAGCCTAGTTTCAAGTCTCCGAAGATCCAGCGTCTCGTTACTCCTCTCGTCCTCCAGGTGAGACAATTCAGTCCATATTTTTACTCTTGTTTTATGAATGTCAAAATCAAGAGAATCTGTGATGCATGTAATTTTGCTAATAATTTCTGTCTATTTTTCTGGTGAGCAGCACAAGAGGCAGAGGAAGGCCGAGAAGAAGAAGCGAGAGGTGCGAAGGAAAGACCAGGCTGCGGAATACGCCAAGGTTCTCGCTGTTCGTCAGAAGGAAGCTGCCGAAAAGAAGAAGTTGGAGAAGAGTAGGCGTCGGTCTGCCTCCACTAGGGAGTCCAAAACCTCTGTTTCCTCCAAGTGAACTCGAGAGTGTGGAAGAAATGCAACTTGAGAGACATTTTTCCGGAGTTTATTGACTGCCTGTTCATACTTTGGGGTAACTGTTGGATAATTCTTTTATACGGCTGCTCTCCATGAATTTGAAGATACTGTACTGTATTTCAAAATGGGTGGAACGTATTATAAACTTCATCCTAGAAGCAGATTTTAATTGGAAAAGAGGAAGGTTCATAATCATGCGACTAATTCAAAAAAGTGAGAACTTTGCTTTCTTAAAAATATTCTGTGATCTTTACATATTCATTAAACACTTCAAAACTAAAGAGTTAAATCGTTTTAATTGGCAATCCATTGGGAAAATCATCACAGTATTTAAATAGCTCTCACGAATTATTCTTGCATCCACATTTCTTGGAGTCACCTTCAAAACACGGCTAGGTTTCTTCTATGAATTGTTCGTTTAGACAGAAGTTTGTGTCTGCCTTGATTTTCTTTTATTTTGCAGATGTTGATTGTGAGATCATGAGCTCTGTGATGAAAGAGCATATCAGTGCACCAATGAGTTCAAATCTTGTGAATGTTTTACCAAACCACTGATGTGATTCATCTTGATGCCAGATGGATCACATTTTATCAGAAAAAAGCAAGAAAGAAAAGATCTCTTGCACTCCTGAGGTGATGTTCATAAGATTTAATTTTAGTTCGCCCTGAAACTCACTAAGAATATTTCAGATTCCTCATCAGAGTTGGATCAATTGCTTAGTGGAATCATCTCTTGAAGATTTATTGAACTTGTGATTGTTGCTACATGGGCTGTATGATTGAAGAGCTGAAGCTCACACAAAGCAAAACACTGGCTGAATTGAGGTGAAGTCTTGTATTCTGTTGTACACACATTTTAGCGCATAATGAACCTTGATGAATGTTTTACAGAAGGAAGAAGCAGTACATGGACTTCAGACGTCTTCCAGATTCATAACCAGGATCGGAGTGGAGGTCAGTGGATTATGTGTGAACAAGGACACGGTCTTGTCAGTGAAGTTGATGATCTCTGCAATCGAATTATCGAGAAAATAATCTTGGTGAGTTAATGTCGACCCTTTTTTTTGGATTTGCTAAATTGTTTTTCAAGTACCTGTCTGAATGGTTTTGACGAAGTCCTCCTCAGTCCCGCATCTGAAAATTGGCAGATTTTTATCAGAAGAATCTCCCAGCAGGTTGCAAAGCAGAGTTTTGCAGGACGGGGTCTCATTTTTGCTCTTGGGATTGATGAAATACGCTGCATTGGCAGAAGAATCCAAAGTCGCTGCCTTGAGGATTTTTCTGGTTGTGGCTTGTCTTCTTTGGCTGCTTTTGACAGCAAGTGATCCTTCTGCTGGTTGTTCACTGGCTTTCAAGTGGTCATACCTGCAAATTTTAAATTCAAGTGATAGTCAAAAGTGAGTTTTTTTATTCAACCTTTCTTTTTGTGGGTGCTGATTATTACCACAAACACAATTTTTCATGCCTTTCTGAATAATGGTGTCAACTAGATTTGTGAAATATCCAAGGCTTTGAAACACTCTTGAATTACTTCTGGCCTTTGTGAGGAAAACAGTGTCCCGAAGAGAAGGTAGGAACTTTTTTGACCCATAAAATCTCTTAACAACAATCTCTTGGAAACTGGGAAAAGACAGTTATATCACAAATATTTTTATGATGTACAGTACCTTCATTAACCTAATAATAGATACAGGTGGACTCCACAACAATTTTCCCCATTTAATGATTTTTAAGTATAGGATTCACTCCCCAGTGTTGAATGGGTTTAGTACAACAAATTTCTCTAGAACAACCTTTTTCTGTTTCCTTCAATCTTGCTGAGCAGTCCATGTGTATAACCATATTGAGGTGACATCTATGTAATTTGAAAGAACTCCCTGAAGCTTGAAACAAAGTTGTCACCAGGAGATGTCTAGAGAGTGAACCAATTTTAAAGGATTTTTTAGTTATCAGATTGTTACATACGCATTGAAGTGGCTGTATTGTTCCCCTGGAGAGATGGTGTAGACTTCAACTTGAGATTGTATTTCATCCTTTGGAAGTTTTGGGTCCAAGAAACCCGGGGCCACTTCAATGTTATGCAGGAGTTGGTCTCCTTGGACATGCTTGAAGAAGCCCAAGTTGACTGACATGCCATCTGCACTTCCAGCTCCTTTTGCTGCCAGGATTCTTTCTACATCTTGTAAAGATGTTGCTGTCAGCAACGCTCTGCATATGAAATGACGGGCTAGAAAAGATTGAAATAAAAATAGATTTCACTGTGGAAAAATACTGTAGAATGAGCCCAAAAGTTTTATTGACGAAATGAATGTAGCTTTTCCATAAGCTTTATTTCACTTATTCAAGAATTCTTGTCTGTCCTAATATTTCTGAACAGTAAAAAGGAAAGTTGACAAAATCAAAGTAGAATCTTTGCATGAAAATCTTTTCAGATAAAATGGTCTCTTCAATTCATTGAAAGGTTCCTGCACATTGGCAACAGTGTTATTCAAATTTTGGTTGTACAGATTTTAATGATAACTCTTTTTCCAGGTTTTGATGGCTGCAATGTGATGAGATTTTACTGCATACACAACTTACTTGGTAATAAATTGTTACTGGTACAAGAAGACTTATTTTCCCAGGTCCCCCATGTCTTCATTTTAATGAGATTTTACTGTATACATGACTTACGCAGACCCTCTGCACTCAAATGCTTGGGAAACAAGACGTTAATGGTGTATGCCAATCCATGGTTATTCCAGCCCAAGCAGAATCCTGGTAGAAGCCCAGCGTAAGACACTGACACAAACCGCTCTTCAACATGTTTGCCCTCTGGTCCATCTCTGTCGACATCATCAATAGTTGCTTTGATGACATACCAATGGTTGAGGAACTCTGGCAGGGCATCTTCATTGTGGCCAATGAAAACCTGAAAGCATTGTTCAAACATTTAAGAGATAACTTTCAACAATAAATCATAATTGTATATTTGTATAAACATTATTAGTGAAGTTGAAGGAGAAAGTGGAGCATCCAAAGGGTGGATGCTTTGCTTCCTTTTCCTTTCTGATGTCATCCATGCGTCCAATCATGCCATCCAAGTGTAGCAGGAAGAGCTGTACAAATAAATGGTTTGTTCAGTTGAAATGGCTCCTATTTTTCATTTGTGTACCTTTTTGAAGGGCACACCAGCGCCATCTGAAGTTCCTTGGAGTTCTCTGAGATACTGTGGGTAGAATCTTTGCAACCTTCTGAGAGATGCATTGAAAATGGCTTTTCCTTTGTCTGTGTTGGACAGTTTGTCTAGTGTTGCCACCTCAGGAGAGTTGTCCACCAAGTCATTAATCTGACTCTTGAAAGTGGTCCCCTGTGAGTAAGAATATGTAGTCTCATGGAATGCAGAAGTAATGTTTCTTGGATCAAGTTTCACTCACCACTGAATATCCAACATCATAGTAGTTTCCTCTGACATGCAACACTGGGATTGATGAACATCTATGTTCTTTATCTGCCATTTTTTTTCTTCAAATCAGCTTCAACAGAGGTGCACTGTGATGAGGAGAGGGAGGAGTTGCCACTCAGGAATGAGTGTTGATTTTCCACAGGGGAAGTTGCAGTTTTGGATGTCACTTGTGAGGTTTCAGGTAAACAGCTGATTCAATGACTCTTGAAGGGCTTCCGTCATTGTACTTCGTTGAATGGCTTCTTTTAAGTAATGTCAGCTTTTTTGTCCTGCTAGTCTTGTAGGTGTCGCACCCACATGAGTAATATGTACAGAACGTTTTATGAAGGTTGTTAACTGCGAACCATACAGTACTGACTAGAAAGGGTCGAGGAAAGAATTTATGGAGCTATTCTTAATTAGCATACTGCATGTAGAATAATTTTTAATGCTCAATTATAACTTTTAATGCTCAATTAATGTTTCTGTGATCGCTACGAATTTCAGGAGTGAAGTTGAACCCTTTCAAAGCCAGAATATTTGTTCTCTGTTCTCCATTCTGTCAGAATGTTGAAATTATTTTGAAAGCTGACTCTCAGCGAGTCGAGCATTGATCACGATGCTATTTTAAGCCATTTGTGACTACAAAATAGTATAAATAAGCCAAGGACAGCATAGGAACGCACCTTAAACTTGTAATTATGTGATTCTTCAGGTTAAGGAAATTCACTTATGAAGCAGGAAACCAATCTTACGGTATAAGTGCAAGTTTTAATTAAGGTGTAACCACATTGTCCTACTTTTTGGAATTTACACCATCTATTTTCCGAATTGTTTGAGGTGAGGAATATACTGGTGGGACTCTCTACAGCAAAACTCATTATAAAACAGATTTTTGAGAAACTTCAATCGTTGTGCTTTGTTCGAAAAAAGATGAAATTCAAGTGACATGTTCATTTGTTGAATGCATCTATTTCCCTACTGGTGGGTGTGAACGAATTATTTTACTTGACCAGATGTCGCTCTTGTGAAGGAACGCACTTCGAGTGACATCTATGCGAAGCACTGAGTGGGTGTCACTTCAGTGACGTCTAGCAGTCCTGCAAAAACTACATTGCTAACAGAATGACGATCCAACAAATATCTCTGTATGGCGATCAGATTGGTTTTGGTGGTTGACCTGCACAAACTAGGATTGCTGGAGGGTGTTCCGACGAAGAAACTAGTTCGGGTGATATCTATGACAATCTTAATTTTTTTGAAATCAATTTCTCTAATATCATATAGATGTGGGAGTAGAAAACATTCTTCCGAGTGACATCTACAATAACTTCAAAATTTCGGCAGGATTTAAAAAATACTATAACTTACATGTCGTTCCTTTTGGAATTAACTTCGATGGATGACGTCTGTGGGAATGTTTCAGTACTTCTGGTTGGCTTCTACAATTTACCTAAATAGATGTCGCTCCAATACTGGTGATACGTATTATTCAAAACAAAATCAATCATCAACACAACTAGAAGACATTAACAATAAAACACGTGTAAATGCGGCTAGAATAGTACTCATTTATCACAGATGACAGACACAAATATTGTCAATGTCCACAGGGTTAAAATATTAACAATTAACGTCCCTCCGGAAAAGTCATGACATGGAAGCACAAATATTCCTTCAAAAACTGGTAAATCGTCCTGGCCACCTTCTCTTGCAAAGCTTCATATGCTCCAACCATTTCGCTGAGAACTGCAAACTCCGCTGATTCATATCTGTTCGCAAATTTAGTCAGTCAGTCTTGATGACACATCGTTACATGGGACAAAATTTACTTACTGAACTATGGCATTTCTCACTGCATCTGTGAGTTTCTTCTTCTGACCCTCGCCAAACTCGTCGGAAAACAACAGGAACTCCGATATGCTCACGCCCTCATCCTCAGATGCGTTGAATATCACCTCTATTGCGTACATGGCTGCACATGTGCCAAGTATCAAAGCTCCCCATGGACCTACAATAAAGAATTTCAGGGATCAGATTTGAATATCAAAATGTACCGGAGTGAACACATACTTTGAAATACTGTACTAAAATTCTGCTGTACTGTACTTACAAACGGAAAATTTTTCATGTTTCCCGAAGTCAAAACAATTTTCCTTTCATCCAAAATAAAAATAGCCAAAATATTGAACATCTCATTAGTTGAACACTGTATTAAACAACGTCGTACGTAGTTTCATCCAAGAAGTTTGCATTTAATATTACTGTGAATATTGCATTTCATGTGATATAAGAATGTAAATACTGTATGTATTGAATCTACTCATGTAAACGGATTCAATGCATGTACCTGATCAACTTTTAAAACATGATCACCAAAAGGTAAGTAAGCTACGAGCAAAGAGACACAAAACTGTCTTGGTCCGCGAAATATTCTTCCATCACTGCATTCGTACAAAGCATTCTATTGATCAGAAATGTTTGTTGCAACAGATAAAGAAAAATACAGTCCATTCAGATCCTGCTTCAAAACACTACCGATCCGGCCAATGAGTTAAACGCGCACTGAACACTAAAATTGCATAAAATCATATCAAGGGTCAACTTTAGAGCCATGTATTCAATAGTCATCCATTTTTTCTTCAAGAACTATCAAGGGAGCCCAACAAAATTCTTTGCTGAACATCAAAATGAAAAATAAATTAATATGTGGCAAGACATTCAGTGCCTCATGTAAACGTGCTGTACTCGGTATAAAAAGTTCAAGTGGCAGAAATCCACGAAGTCTCCACAGAGAATTTAATTCCACTCGGGGATTTCGAAGTGAAGTTCAGTACAGAAAATAGACTTCGCATCTAAGCATCTCGTAGTGTCCACTCACCAGCAATGTTAAAACCAAGCAAGGCAGCCAGAAACATGACGAACCCAGTTCTTGTCCCTCTCTTGATACGAATCCCATAATCATCGATTCGAAAACCAACCATTCTCTTCTTCCACGCGACCCAAATCGCGAGGTCCAGCAAATCAGCGTCATCTATCGTCATCTCTCCAATTTAGACTAAAGATAACAAGAAAAAAAAACCTGCTTAAAACAAAACAAAAAGAAAGCCTTCAAAAGGGATCAAAGTTTCCCCGTCATGAAAAACTCACTCACTCACCATAACTTCGAAAAGGTTCACATGAAGCTGCGCTTCGATGAACTTCTGGGTCCCAAATTAACCACAATCATAGCGTCTGAACGGTAAGAGGATTCGCGTTTCAGACTTCCCGATGAAGATCTGTAGTTGCAATTTGAGGGTCTTAGTGGGATGTGACACGTGGAATGGCACCTGAAAGAGTCCTGACACGGACCACAACGACGGCGAGAAGAACCTCGACATTTTCCTCTGAAATCGGATCAATACCAAAATTTAGCGAAAGTGAAATACTGGCAAGAAGGTCTTTATTCGAGTTTTTGGAAAAAAAAACGCACTTCCACTTTTAAAATGTGTCTTACAACTACTGTACATGAATATCCGGAGCTTATCTTACAAAGAATAGCGTGCGCATTCTTAGAATTGATCATCACATTAATATCTGAGAAAACCACTGAAAAGCAAGATCAAGGCATGAACTGTCACTTGAGATTCATGCAAACATCGGGTAAGATTGTAAGCGAACATATTCACCTTTCAAACAAAGCCTAAGTCGAATTAACGGACAACTCAGATTAAGAAAAAAAATCAAAGAATGCGGATGTAAGATCCAGCCAATAAGAGACAAAATGTTACGACTCTCCCTCTAATTCAGTCGTAAAAAAAATGGAAGTGCGTCACACACTACACTGAATAAGGGTAACAACAAATCTCTTCTTCCGTTTCCGTTTTCCATGCATGTACAGTAATTATCACAGGATTGCCGAAATTAAAACGTACAAGAGATCTGGAACGACGAAAGCCACACTTGGCAAACGTAATGAGAAACAAAGCAATACAAGATACCTGATCGATTATCAAAATATTATTTGAATGTGGAAAAGGAGTGTCAAGTAGGCAAGTTTTGAGTTTCAAAGATCACAGGAATGATCTTCGGATTTCCAACAGGGAAATGGAGCGTGCGCATCAAGTTTTGCCAGATGACTCCCTACCGTACCGCACCCTACAAAAACTTCTATACCCACAGATAAAAACAACTTAGAAGTATCCCCCTACAGGAAAACAACCACCTTGCTCTTAGGAGATTCCAAGGTGTCAAAAACCTCAGTTTGATTTTAAAAAGCATAGTTTTGAACTCTGGGAACAATTACCAAGTCACTTAAGCTCTTCAACATTAACCTGCTCACATTCCAATGATATCAAATGACCAAATGCTGATCTAACATGGAAAACAAGGGTGCAAAATGTGTGCGTTTTGCAGAGATTTTCTCTCAGATAAACTTTCCAGAAGCCTGCCTTTCAAGAGCTCTGAATAAAGCAAAGGAGAACACTGCAGCCACAAACAGGACAACAATCAGTCCCACCATTGCTCCAAGGACAATGAGCAAGTTGTCATTGACAATGGTGATCAGCTTGTCAAAGCATCCCTGGAATAATTGAAAAAAGCATGAAAATTGAAGAAATCATCTTGAAAATAGAAAATGCAGGGTATGATTAATACCTGATTAATGTTTGCATTACTGTCTCTGGGATCCCTCAAACAATTTGAATCCACTGGGTCTGCAGCCACAAACAGGACAACAATCAGTCCCACCATTGCTCCAAGGACAATGAGCAAGTTGTCATTGACAATGGTGATCAGCTTGTCAAAGCATCCCTGGAATAATTGAAAAAAGCATGAAAATTGAAAAAAGCATGAAAATTGAAGAAATCATCTTGAAAATAGAAAATGCAGGGTATGATTAATACCTGATTAATGTTTGCATTACTGTCTCTGGGATCCCTCAAACAATTTGAATCCACTGGGTCATATGAATTATCCTTGGAGTCCTTCAGCTTGCAGCAGGCAGGTGGAATCTCCAGTTCACTTGGCCAGTCTTTAACTTTTCTCTTAAAGTCAGTGTAATCATTCACTCCACAACATCCAAGCTGGAAAAATCAATACAATTATTTTCACACATTATGGATTTTCAGAAAGTTGGGATTACTTTTGCCATGAGCAGGTTCAGAACATTAGTGGCAATGTTGGTGTCATTCGTCTTCTGATTGTAGCGATAGTCCTCCAACAAAGCTTTGTCCATGGCAGTCCTGCCTTCAGTCACCAGCTGCAACCAAACTTAAATTACTAAAAAATACCCTAACATTTATAACAAATCTTGTTACAAAACAAGATTTCTTTCACAATTTCAAATGGATTTCTTCAAAACAAATTTTTTGTTGGAATGAAGTGTTTTTCAGTCCCAACAGCTTTGTTGTAACAAGATTTTACAATAATGCAACCCCAGAGGAATAATTACCTTGTCCTTCATTCCAAAGAAGACTCCTATCAAACTTGCCAATGTCAAAGACAACAGCAGCACCACAATCCCATACTATGGTAAACAAAAATAATTTTAATGAGAAATGGTATTTCTTTGTTTGAAACTTGAACTTACCATAAGCAAGAAGCACCTGTTTTCTCTGGAAGCTCCACAGCAACCCAGAAATCCCAGGATCAGCAAAAATCCCCCCAGTGCCATCAATACATACATTGCTTCTTTCAACACCTGAGACTGTGTCCATACCTATACAATTGAAAATTTGTATACAGTACATGGAACATCTGACAATGACAATTTATTATTCAAGAAGCTTTCCCAGAATTTATTCATAGAAATAATTTTCATTCTCAAAAATAGGTCCATGCTTAAAAGCATTGTGTCCCCTCAAAGGAAGTCTCAAATTGATTTAGGTAGATGTCACTTTTAGATAAGGACACCAGAACTATTAAAAATGGCCATTCAGCATTTACAAAGCTATCCCAGAATCCATTCACAGAAAGAATATGCATAATTAAGATTAAAGCCATGTTCAAGAAAATTGTGTTCCCTTAAAGGAAGTCTCCGATTAATGTGGGTAGATGTCACCCCCAGACAAGGAAACCAGAACAGTTCAAAATTGCCATTTATTATTCAGGAAGCTATCCCAGAATTTATGCATAGAAATATTAGTGAACTTGTCCTCTCAAGGGAAGTCTCGAAATACTGAGGGTAAATGAGGCCCTAAGAAAAGTAAACCCAGAATGTTTTAAAGCCTCATTCTTTTAAATGTAGTCCCATTGATGTTCATGATTAAATATAGTAGTTTTTTGTGCATACATATACAAGAATGAATCTATTGAAAAAAGGTCTTACTTCAAGTTGGTAGTTTTCCACTGGCAGATTCCTCACAGTGTATAAAAATGAAGAAAGGTCAGAATATATCCATATACCAAGTGCAAGCACAGCCAATCCAGCAATCTGAACACACACAAGCAAGAGTAATTAATAAATTAAAAGTACTGCAAAGTCATACAAATTAGCCACTCACAAAAATTAGGAAGTTGACAATCCAGAGCACATATTTCACAGCAGTGCAGCCACAATTCAGCATGTTTGTTTCTCCCAAAAGAAGAAATATTATCCTGGAAATAAATAAAACAAATGAGGAAACTTGCTCCACAGGAAACTCACTTCCACTCTTCACACATACACACACGCACCAAAAACATGCTTTATCATTTCCCCTCCTTCCCTTCTAAAACATCCTGGCACAGGATTACACCAGACAATCAATACTGACTCTTGTTCCCACAAACAAACAACCTTTCATACCTTGTGGCTTTCAGCTTCATTAACCCCATTCACTCAACAGAAAATGACACACGCTGTCTTGTCAATCATTGAGAAACTTTTCCTTACTGTAATCAACAATCTCACAAAACAATTCCAAAGGATAATTTCTCACAATAGCAAAACGCTTTTCATCAGGAAGTAATATTTTACATTGGATCATATTAAAAAATGTTTATTGGCAATGTAACAAAGGCTTATTCATTGTCCTACATGGTCTGGTGTCCGAAACTTAGCGATTTAATCCTTCTTCAAACAGATGTCGCCTGAAACATTGTTCCAGCGTATGGCATTATTTTCATTCTTGCGCTCCCCTTTTTGGAACTTGGAATTTTCATATTCATGTGATGAACTTATAATTGATTAATAAATTACAATGAATTATATACAGTAATTTTCTAAATTTTTCAATTTTGAAATTAGGTTCACCTGCCTTCGAGGCAATTATGAAGAAATATAAAATTCATTTAACTGCATTTTTTGATGATACAAGAATGCGATCATGGCAGTTTCTTGAGAAAATAATTCGGAATTCTCAAGTTATCTCGAATATGTTGATTATTCAACAGGTTTAAGAAATTGGGGGCAGATATTCAGGAAAATTATCAACAAATGAAACAGAATCACTTGATATTCAGGAGGATTCTCAATCAGGAATTTCTACGCCAAAAACTGTATTTCAAGGTAAAATACTGACAAATATGGTCAACTAGCCCGTAATAAGGAACTATCACAAGTGATAAATTTCAAGTCAAATGACACACTGTCCTACCTAGTCAATGAGAAACAAAAGTTGCTTTCAAGCATGTAGATGTCACTGGCAGCCATAACTGGGCATTAAATGCAGTCTTCCTTGTCATCTCAAGATTCATGCAAATATTTCTTGTGCAAACATTTAAAAATTGTAACAGCAGAATTGGGTTCATTGTTTTCTTTGTATATTTGTTGAAATAAAATGTTATCATGGATTTTCTTGGCAAATCCAAAAGCTTCAATAACATTATTCAACAATACAACTTCCCCACAAAAAACAGAATCTCATAACAAAACTTTCAAACCATTACAATTATTGCATGAATTTATGTTGCTCATTTCAGTAAAGAAACACACACTGTCTTCATGTCCCAGGTATTAAAGTGAGAACTGCCCCACATTCTTTTCCTTCAAGTTGCTCACGCATTATAAACTTGGGAATGCAGCACCTTTCAGTCACTTAATTACGGTTACACAGTTTCGTTCGTATTTTTTCTTTCCCCCCCCCCCCACAGCCTTCACACTCATTCCACAGAAATTCCCCTGTCCAGTGTGAAAGTCCGAATGCGACTCATGCAAGACCACGTCCGTCAAATTCTCCCACCGCAACGCTATCCCATTACGCTCATATACCCCCCACACGAAAATAAAACTTCGCAACCAAGTGTCGCAACTTGCTCTGAACTCGACCGCATGAATCGCATCTTTAGCAAGCCGTAAAAACGAAAATAAAAACGCACAGAAGCTGCTGGCTTGCTTCATTCCACCTCAACTTCCGCATAAAATTTCATGCTCCAAAGCACAGACGTCATCTATGCGTCAGTAACGCAAGAAAAAGCCGGAGTTCGTGACCGGAAAAACGGGAAAAATTTATGAAATATTCAACATCGTGAACCCCGGCTTCGGAGAATATCGATTTCCGATCACGAAAACTGTCCGGAAATAAGAGCCCCTTTAGGGCGCGCTTTAGTTTAGTAACGGTAGCACTTCGCTGTGAAAAAGATTTGACTTCCTGCTCCCCGAAAAGCTTATCAAAGACAGCTCTAATTTATGACATTTAGGATCCTTCTTTTGGAGGAGATGATCAGACTAAGCCCAGATTTCATGTGAAGCACGCAAGATTTTGATGCAAACTTCGTAAAAAGACAGAAACAATCGTTCGAAGAAATGAAAGCTAACCTCGCCAGAAACAGACATTTTGGGAATCCACTAAAATTAATTACGTCGAGGCTTTCAAGGTATGGATGTCTAACTTCCGTTCCGAATGAAAAACTGGCATGAAATGCGTTTCAATGCCATGGAAAGTGATTCAGAAACCAGAAAAGAATCCTCCCGAATCAGCCCGAAATATTCCCACAAAAATGCGACACGAAGTAGGCTATCACGATCCAACTAGAGAAAAAATTCCATACGTGAGCGATCGACCAAGCCATTTTAAGAGACTAAAATAGCAGTGAAAAACATGGGAACGTAGTACACTTCGTGAAACTGAATCGTAACATTCCCTCTCACTCGCGTGGCGTAATGATAAATCTCACAGTAAGTGTATCAATTCGGTACGAACAGCAAAAGTTCGATCCATCCATCATCACTCGAAGAAGTTGAAGCCACGCGACCAACTCCGTCAGAATACGCGGTTCGTATGCGAACACACCTCGTTAGATCGATACATTAATCATCAATCAGCCATCATAAAGCTTTACAAATGAGTCAAATTCGATGGACGAGAAGCACTGAGTCACGCGCACACGTTAGTCGAATCGAAAGAGCGAAACCATCAAATCGCGTCACATTTCGCAAACCACGGAAACGCAGGAGAACATGAACCGACCAAGTCTCATCGAGGAATGAAGAGAGAACGCCGTACTCTCTTGCTCCTCCACCCTCCCCGTTAGGAGGCCTCCCGTTCGGTGCGTGAGAGCTAGCAGCACTGCACGGTGCGTGTCCAACGGTTTTTGAGGAGGAGGGTAATTTTTGGTCGGTAGAGAAAGAAAACAATTGAACTCTCTCTTTCTGAAACAAAATGCAGTAGAAGGAATTAACGTACCATACAAGTGATAGATAAATTTACGGAACTAAGAGAATCGTTATGCAGCCAAGTCTTCCTAGATAGAACCCGCTTTGAAGGACGCTCGCGACCACACTAAACGCAATCCCGCTAATTTTAAATGCAGCCAAAAGTGCGCCCGCCTGACACTTTGTCTCTTTGCCTGTCCGTCAGTCTTTCTTCCCCACCCGCCTTGAATCACCTCTTCCGCCTTTCGAAGAGTGTGTTTGTGGTTTAGCAGGGTTTCAAAGGGGTACGTAGTTTTAAAGCACTACGTGAAAACCGGTTTTCACTGTTCCATTTTGGAAACCTTAAGCCTTGGGAGACCACTGTGGAGGCACGTGTATTTATTCGAGGGAGAAAACACAACTCTTAGGTAGGGCTAAATTATCCAAAATTGTACGATCACCTCATTCACTATATTCAATGATAAATCTACAATTTAGAGTAACAAATTTTACTTCACACAATTAGAAACAGAAAAAATTCAGTAAATAAAAAAATTGAGCCATTATTGTCCCAATACAAAACTAAATACGGATTAACCAATTACAGCATGTATCCCTTTCACAAATCTCGAACTTCAAGCGACATCTACTGTATATGCATTTAATGTACGAGGAAAACAGTGATCATCGTGAAGTAGACGTGACAGCATTAGATTTAGACAGAAAAAGTTGCATGACGGATTTCGCAATGAACCAATCAATTCGGTCAAATTGAATTTCTCAACATGGAAGGAATCGGGCAAAAGTTCAAACAGTATAAGATAACCTAATACAGTATCCACAATATGCGTTTACTTTTTAGTTTACCAGATGTCGCTGGCGCACGAGTACCCAACCGGTTCTTCTGAAGCAAGGTATTTTTTCTGAATTTTACAGACATTAGTTAACATGTAAGACCTATCTCGAGAATGATTTCATCAATTTTCGAAAAAACATCACACGTGCATCTAGTCCAGAGCGCGTCAAAAAAGACCATCCTTTTCTGATCGAACGCTAGAAACAATTTGAAGGAGACGTCCCATCAAAAATTCCAAAAACCCCTTCGCACGTATCACTAAAACACTTACAAAATCGGCTCAACCGCTCAACAAAAACAAAAAATCATAAAACAATTTCCGCTTACCTCGACTATAGCTCCGAATTTTCATTAGTCCCCACGTTCCGAAGGAAATTTTTGCAGAATCGGTTAACCTGCTCCTGCGCTCTTTCTTTCCCTCATCCACGAGTTTTGGCAGCAACAGAGATTTGAAAAGGTTTTTGTGTTGTTTCCTTTTGTTCACTGTTGCTAGTAGGAGCTAATTATGGACAGGAAGAACCTCTATGCGCCTCCGAGTTCCATTCCGGACATTAGAGCAGGTTTGAGAGCTGGCTCAAAAATGGGAGCTACCCAAGTTCAGATCCCTTTCAGCGAGAAAATGGCTATCAGCTTGGCAAGTGGGGTTATCATGGCCGTCTGCGTGATGATTTCGCAACGACTCTTCGGTCAGATGTGGATCGGTGAGCCTGAGTCATCATCTGGAAAAATACATAATTTTTAAAAGTTATCGTTACACCATCGGCGACGCGCGTGGGAAAAGCACTCCTTCGAAATTTTTTTTTTCTTGAGCTAGACGCTATTTAAAGGTGGAAGATGGAAAAGCTTCGTTTTTTGTATTAGGTTAACTTATGATCAGTGCCCACTTCTTATCGAGGTAGCTGTTTCCCGAGTTTAGGTTCTAGCACGCAATGTAACTTCAACCACACTGACGCGAAGATACATTTTAATCGAATTTCAAAATATCTTTCCAATTGAATACTAGTCACGGGTGAAGAATAGCTCCATCGACAAAGGGCTCAAATCCAAGAAGCACGCAATGTAACTTCAACCACACTGACGCGAAGATACATTTTAATCGAATTTCAAAATATCTCTGACAATTGTTAACCTTGAAAACGGGTAGATCATAACGTTTCGAATGGAAATTGCTCAAAATTTTCTAGAAATACACAAGCAATTACCTCAAGTCTCAAAAGGACTCTTCAGACAACTTGATCTCTGCAATTTTCGCTCAATTAAAAGGTTCAACAACCTTCGAAAACAATTCCAAACTTCAACTAAGACATTTCAATTCACTTACATCTCCGCTTTCTTCTCAGGTGTCATTCTAGGGACGTTGTTCTCCACCAAGTTCCTGCACTCCAGATTCGATCAGCCGAAACTCGCTCAAGTGTCGGAAGCACTTGGACGCTTCGCCGGTAAACGAAGGGTAAGGCTTTGGGCGTCAATGTTGTGTCTCGGCGAAAAAAGACTATGAAATAGGGGATCTTTGAGGTACATCGTAAGGAGGTTATGTATGACTATACATCACTAAATTTCTAATAATAAAAGGGAAGCTTTTTCACCAAGTAGGCATCAAGTCATTTTTTGCCGCTTTTGGTACGTGTGTCTTTAAGAGCCATAGTGTCGCTCCTTGTAAGGAAAAGGTTGGCCACTACTAAAAAAACGTTTCTTTAATACAGCTGACTTGTTACGATACGGATCTTACGGTACAAACCTTTTTTTTAATTATGAAAGGCAGTTGTCACAAGGCAAACTTCACTCATCACTAAGCGAAAAAATCCTCTGAAGCAACTGTCCCCAGGGTGTACAAATAAAAAAAATGAATGCTCCACTGCCAAACTTAGAAAGACTGAATTTCAATTCTTGAGTCTCAGACATCCTTAAAGGAAGCCCTTTAAAAAATTTGTTAACTACTGTACCATGAAATTATTTATAGGCTAAAAGTGTGGCTACGAAGTTGTGAAATAATACAGGGTTCTTTCCTTTTTAGTGATGTTTGTCAATTTGAAAATACTCAAGGTTGGTCATTTAATCTCACGTTTAACTCCAGTTCATTCTTCGCAGCCACGCAAAAAAAGCTCTAGGAAAATTTGACAATGACGCTTCTGTAAAATATATTCACGCCACAACGAACAGTACCTGCATTAAAAAAAATTTCCACATTAATTTGCTTTTAGCATCAATTCAATACCCATTTCTTGCAATAACAAAAATTCCCTTCAAGCAAATTGGCAGTGATGCTATTGACTGAATCCCAATTTTGCTGCACACTGGAAAATGATTATTCCTGCCTTCATTACTCTTGTTTTTTTTTAATTTTAGTTGAACCGTCGCTACGAAGGTTCTTCGTGCTGGCACAGGGACTCTTGTCAACGAGGTCAACCCTGTGTTTAAGTGAGAGTTCACGCTTAAGGATGTGTCCTAGATTAGAATCACTGCTTTCCCTTTTGCAAAAAAAAAAAAAACGAGAGAGACGAATAACATTCTCGAAAACAGTCAACGAAGTGGGGGAAATAGAAAAGACGACACAGATCATCCACAAGACTTGAGCACGAATAAAAAGAAAACCAACAAAGAACCACGCATTATTCCACCACAATTTAAAATTTGTTTTTCTTCAAAAACCCCTGAGACCATTGTAAACGTTGTTGACACTGCTTTGACTCAACACCTTCTTAATCGCCTCCTTGTCCGACTCTGCGAAATCGGACTTTGGGAAAGACACGTCGAAGGTGATGTACAAGGTGCCAAACAAGTTGTTGTTTTCATAGTTGGGCATCCCTTCGCCCTTTTTCCGGATCCTAGCCCCGGGCCAAGTTACCTTGTCTCGCTTCACGGCCACCTTGTGTCCGTCCAAGTGAGTGATCTCCATTTCGAAGCCGACCAGAGCGTCTTGCAGGGAAATGGTCACATTTGTGTACAAATCGTCTCCGCGGCGCTCGAATTTCGGATGCGGAGACCCTCGAATCTTCACGAAGGAACAAGAGTAATACAAATAAATATACGCACGAAAATATTTCAAGTACCGCGATTGAAAATTAAATCTCATGGAACACACTCGCAGGAATCAAAGGAAAACATTCGTTATAACAAACATTTGATTATACAATGAAGTACTGCCAGTAGGAATGAAAAACCTTTTTCCCCAATTTTAAAATCTCAAAAAACTAGGGGTTCTGCTCATATTCGCGTCTATATCAGGAAATATTTCGGTCCGCGACCAAATATTGGTCTTGACATAGTCAAGTGCTTATTCTTTTCTTCAGCTCTTTCGGAATAGAACTTGAAAATATTGAAGAAATTGACCGCTTTTGGCACTTGGAGATGTACGAGTCTTTGACGCAAGGGTTGGGCGTCACTTAGTTTTCTGAGAAAAACCGATTATTAGTAAAAAAAATCGTATGATCTTGACAATTCAAAATACAAAGGTGCTCATATTTATCCATCAAAGGAATTTAAAATTTTGCGCATGAAAAATCGAGTGGGTGATTCTTCACAAATACGGTACCTCCCTATATTTTGACTCTACCTTCTTCTTCAGAATTTAAATGAAAAATAAAGTTTCTGAGCTCAATAATCCATGGGGTTGTTGTGAAAAAATGAGAATATGTGTTTTAGTCTGGTATCATAAAGTCCCAGTCCAGTTAAGTATCTAATTTATAAGTACGAGGTTCAAGTACATATATAAAAGGATGAAAGATGGTTTTTTTTTAGCCTAGTTGAAGGATTTTAAGTTTAAATTTACCTTTTTGCAAGGAATAATTATTTAATTCTACTGGATCTGGCAACCTTTGGATGAGATTTGTAGCACTCGACTGCGTTTTTGCTGTGGACCTTCGTTATAGACAATTTTGAAACAAATTATTAGAAATTTATAACAGTGTACATACAGTACTTTATTCAAGTGTCAAACACTAGAAGATTCCACAAGTAAGGACTTAAAAACACTCACTTTGAAGATGAGATCACCTGGTTCACCGTCTATGTGAGGTTCTCCCTCTGCAACAAAGCGATGCTCTTGGAGGTCCTTCATTCCTGGTTCAATCTCAACCTAAGGCAAACAATTACACAATCAAATTGGCAGCCGAGCAAAGCAACGCTAGAAGTCATTCATAACCCAACATCGATACTTCTTCAAGTCAAGTACCTCCCAATGTAATTTTTTCAACAAGTCCTTGCATGAATTTTCCCAGAAAAAAATGCATTGAAGTCCTCGAAAACTGAAGAGCTTTACCTTCGTAAGTCGAATTTTCCGGGGGCTGTTCGGCTATTCAAAAATGGCCATGTTCTCTCTCTTTTCGTTACTTTCTTTATTGCTAGCTAAGCAAAACTTTCATTCACGTTGTTATTAACCCGTTTGCTTTGGGAACGGAAGTTCAAGTCATATGACTGTAGATCAACAAAAAGCAATTCAAGGCCATAAATGACATAAATTACAATTTCCTGTATTATTTCTTCTAACAAAAATACTTGTTCACTAAAAATTTATTCTGCTGATCCCTTGAAATTCAAGTCGAAGAGGCACGACTGTATTTTTTGGCTTGGATTTATTAGTGCGATTTTCAGGGATAAATAAACACACATGCATCGTTTACGCAAAGATTTGAGAAAATTTCGAATCTATCCTTGAGTACATCTCAATCAAAAAGAAACTTGGTATCAAGGAAAATAATGAACTCTGTACTCACCTCGAGTAGCTTTTCCTCATTGACTAGCTTCACATTAGGACACTCGTCACACACAGTTTGCTGGGTCATCTGAAACCTTCCCGGCCCCAGAGACCGAGTGACCATTTCTTGCCGACAGTTGCACTTCCTGGTACCTTTCGCAGGTCGCACCACACGCTTCATCCTCGCAACTTCCACAAAATTCCCGGCATAGAGTTCTTCCAAGGACACCCACAAGTCCATGACGATGTCCGCACCTCGAGGCACTTCCCGTTCACGTCCTTGACCGTGGAAATCAAAACCGAATCCTCCGAAGTCATGACCGAAGAAACTAGAGAACGCGTCGAAACCGTCTCCACCCATCCCGCCTTCCTTCTTCAAACACTCTTCTCCACAGCGATCGTACATTTTCCTCTTGTCATCGTCGGAAAGTGCTTCATATGCTGCTCCTAGGTCTTGAAACTTTTGCTGGGCATCCGGATCGCCTTGGTTTTTGTCAGGATGCAATTCCTTGGCGAGGTTTCGGTAGGCCTTTTTGATTTGGTTCTTGGACGCGGATCGGGGAACACCAAGGATTGAGTAGAAATCGCGGGTTGCGAGGGCGAAAATCACAAACGTCGATAAAATGTGGAGGCATGTTAACAATGAACCGGAAGTCATATCGAGGCCTGAATGATTTGACCCCGGACAGGTTAAACCGGCGGTTATCACGTGCCTCTGAACCTGGAAAAATTAATGAACACGCACATGAACAAAAGGGGGTCTTCTGGTAACTCGATTGACACAGCCGCCTTTTCAAATTTCAATCCCACATCTTCATAAACGTCACCCAGAAGCATTCGAACAAGATTACTTTAATTAAAAAAAAAATTAAACTGGATGATGTAACCGATAGCTTTCAGTAGCAAGGGCAGGACGATCGACTGAAAATGGCAAGCGAACATCCAATGGTTCTATTCTTATGATTTTTCACAAAACTTCAGGTTACGACAAAAGATAATAAAAGCACTTTACAACACACTGCAAGTCACTTCGAAAGGTTTTTTCTCGCAAGGAAACAGATAACTAGACCAGAAGACACGGTTTTGAAATACACTCAGAAACTTCGAACTTCAAACATTTTCCTCTTCTTGAGGTGAGTAGTGTGGTGTTTGCTAAGACCGTCCGCAATTGCAGTCTTAGGTTCGCGTAAAAGCGAGAAGGAGGTGCGTGAGCCCTATTTACCTGAACTCAAATTTACAAGATTCGGAGCAGTGCATTGATGAATAAGCACAGTGAGAACTGACCTAATAAACCGTGTTAAGCTGATTCACGGTAGAAAACATTCGCCGGTAAGAACACGTAAGCGTAGCATATTTTGGCCCGTAATGCGATATTATGGGACAAGTTGCGTTCAGCGCCGCTGAACTCAGGGCTACCTCTTCCACGCCACCCCTATACGAGCTCCAGTCTCTCTCAGAGCCATCAGTGGCTTTCATTGAGTGACTTCAACTGCAATGCTACTACGGTGGTGTACAATATGGGGAGACGATCCGATGGACAAATAACAGCGCACATATATAGGTACAAAATAGTTAAATAATTAAACAAATTCAGAATATCCAAGTAACATGACGCAAATTATGTGAATAAACATTTTTTGTAAAATGACTACCTCTAATAGCTGTATTGATGTTTTGAATGCACTTGGGTACAGTATATTGAAGTCATTGAATACTAACTTATATAGTGGTCTATTATGGATGTTGGATGACACCTGTGACACAGATTGAGAACCACAACATCCATGTGGGTTTGCAGTTGAACATTATTAGGCGTTGGCATATTGGATGCTATACCAATTCAGTACAATTATGTACATTTTATTAGTTCCAGTGCATCAATTTGTTATTTGTATTGTATTGTATTGATGTATTGTATATTTTCTTTTAGGGATGTTTCTAATCCCATTCAAAGTTTTCTTTTTCAAGGAATTGTATTTGCAGATGCAATTGCTGCATGTGCCAGTATACACTTTATTATATAGATTGCAGTTGACACGCCCAGCTGTAGCAATCAATTTCAATGGGGCCATTTCTAGCTTATTTATTTTAATGGTGAAAACATGTTCAGGATTATGTTACTTCTTATTTGGACAATTTAAATGCAATGATTTTCCATTATCTTCCATGCAGTATATATATGTCCAGGATTCCAATTGAATATACTGTACTGGTATGCTACTATACATTCCTTATTAACTGATCATTCTGGTTTTTCTCATACTACATACAGCACTGATATTCAAGAGTCAGATTTAACCATCTTACCATGAAGATTTAATCTCATTAATTTTAAAAATGTATGCAATTACCAAATATATTTGGGGGTTGAAGAACTGTATTTCACTACAGAACTTTTCACAGGTATTTATTTTGTCAGTTGATTTTTTGGTTAAAATCTCTAAAACACATAATCTACAACAATTATATGTTTTCATTTAATGAACACCAGACAGGTAAGCATATTGAGTAAAAATGGGTCATGTGACAACGTTTTTGTATTGGATATCATAAAATAACGTCAAAGGAATCAATGTCTGATCCAAAGTGACTAAATAAGCTGCACATCATATGAGTGATGATTATGAAGATTTTACACATATTACTTGCAAACATCTTACAATGCTTTTACAGCAAATGGTTTCAATTCAGAAACAAAATGAAAAAAATGACACTATATGTGCAGTACAGTAGTTGTTTTTGTGTGCAACCTGAATTTGAGACATGGTCAGCATGCAACAGGAATTGCCAAATATTAGCTCCTGCGTGGATGAGAAGTTGCTCAATCATTTTTGTTTTTGGAGCCAAACAAAGAACTCTTCACATTCCCAATAGCTCTCCAAAACAATGCTTCCAGAATAAGATTCCTTCCCAGAATTTCAGATGCAGTTATTGCTCCACTTGTGCTGCTGAAGTCCACAGAAATTGAAAGTGTGTCCTCCCCAGTCAAATACAATCCTGTATGGATGAGGATTCATTTAGTATACTAATTCAGGAAAAGTTATTGAATGATTTTTCTAAACATGATGAAAACCTGGAATTCCAGTATCAGTCCTCATTTTGGCAGATGCTTCCACCCTGTAAGAACGAGAACACAACAGGTTAAAACAAGGTGGAGGTCGTTAGGACAACTTCATCATCAACCGTCTTCGTGAACATGGTATTTGTTACGTCAGGTGTACTAGGACATTACTTATATGTACCATGAGTACAATGGGCTAATCAACTTTGACTATACTGTATGTCACCTTTAGTTGAGGACAAATTTCCAAGGCCTGATCCAACATCTTTTGACCAAATGCTTTCTTCAGTTCATCATACTCATCACCTCTCTTTTTTATAGGCAAGGGTTGCCACTTATTGAACCAGTCATTGTTTGCAATTGTGAAGATTTCAAGAGTGGATTTTCCTGCAATATGTAAAAAATTCTCTACTGTGCATCAGCTGAAATTTGTAAATGAAAATAAACCTGGATGCCTGTCATTGAATGTGGGATCCTTTGCAGAATTGAAGAAAAGGGCAAACACAGGAATGTCCACCTCCAGTGCCTCTTCCAGAGATAGGGACAGATAATCATTGAAAACCTGTTTATGTTGATTATAAATCAATTACAGAAAGGCTATAATGAGGCAATGATCACAGAAAGTTTATATATATATATACCTCTCCACATTCCTTGGTTGTGGTGAAACATCTGACAGGCTGCCATGGCAAATCAAGTTCCTCTGCAGTCTTGTTCAACCCAACAAATAGCTGATAGTAGGCAGTGGGTTTGTTCATGAAGGGCTTAGCTTCTCTGTACCACTCTGAAGAATCACTTATGGCTCTTGGCAGTAAGTGTTTGAAGGTGATTTCAATGCCTGCATGCCACAAATAATTTTTTTTAAATTGTATATTAAATTTCAAGATTTTGACAATGCTAACCAGCTGAAGAATACTAATACCCACGTTTGTGTAGACATCACCAACTCGGAAAAACGTGTCACTGAGGTTATCGAGAAACTGGAACCCATTACTAAAACTGTTGAAAACGAGAATGATCTTAGAGAGGGGGTCGTAGGATCACATTTTTGGCAGCATAATAAGCCATTTTTGATGTACCACCAATAGGGTAATAAGGGCCTGAAAAAAGTAAGTTGAATAAGATATCAAAATAATGAGACATAATGCAAGTAGTTGTGTGTTATCCAACCTTCACAAAATATCTTTTGAGAGAGAGTCCAAAGAGAATATGGAAACTCATCTGCAGCAACATTCAGGTCCAAGGCATAAGGGTTGAGGACAAAAGGCAAGTCAGGATGTTTTTTACTCACTTTCTGCAACAACAACAAAAATACTCTGCTGAACTAGAGTCAAATAATGAATTTAATTTTTTACTCACTTGGAACATTTCTGTTGTAGAGATGCTGTTGTGCTTTGGATAATTTGTGAAGATGTCAAAGAACCTCAGCTTGATCAAAAGCAATGCCAGCCATTTTGGAAGGAGCTTGACTATGACAAATGGCAGAAATGTGGGCACACTTCTTTTCACATCACTGACCAACCTTTTGAAACAATGGGTGTCAGACTAATGCAGTTTCTTGTCTAAGAGGGTTTGCAAGACAGGCTTCTTCTCCTTATTCACACTCAGAACTATGAGGCTGACAAAATACTTTGGATCTATATGTTTTTGAATGTACAGTACTGTCAAATACCCAATTACAGTCAATCCTCTTGGAGTTATACTTAAAGGGACCGGTTTAAAATATAACTCAGGAAGGTTTATGGTTAAGAATAAAATATTTATTCTGGAAAAATGAAAATGAAAAATTACTGGAAGCTGGAACTTGATATTTTTCTGGGGTGGGTGTTTCTGAAGGTAGGTGACAGGAAGCTGAATTTGAAGACTCCAACTTCCTTGTATAGGAGAACATAAAGCTATTTTGATATTCAGAAGTAAAGAATTCCTCCAACTTGAAAAGGAAGAGTCAAGTTTGTGAGGTCTTTAATACATTAGTCTAGAAAATTCAACATGGGGACCTGAAAAAAGTTGACATTGTTGAGGGACCTTGATTGAGAGAGATTTTTTATACCTATAGCTGCTGGAACTGTACAATAATCTCATTATTCCATATGCATTGTTCAGGAAGATAGTTCAAGCATTTTGCACAAAATATGATTCTAAGTCAATTATACAAGATTAGATTAAAAATCTCTTACCTAGAGAAAAACTCCCCTTCCCCAGGAAAATACTTCAGCATGGAGTGTTTCCACTGGTCCACAGTTTCAGCTTCAAAAAGATACCTTCTTACTCCATCTTTGGGATTCCTTGGTGAGCCAACCACAATCTCATCTCTGTATTTCTCTATTTTCAAATTGCACAACCATGCTTCAATAGGTTACATAATGTGCATAGGTTTATATACTCACTTGTAGAGACAAATTCCACTTTTCCATCCAAAAGTACATTTAGACACAGACCGGCAATGCCATCCTTTCCAACATTAACAGAGATGTGATGTCCTGAGTCAAACTCATACCCATGCTCTATAAATGTATGCATGGATCCACCAGCCTGTTCACATACACATTTAATGTGACACATGAGCACTTACAATCAAGATGAAGATCATGATAATTAGTCCTATAGTAATTGAGATAGTAATAGAATTGTTACTTGAAAGGGAACCACTGCCACCAGTAATTGAGATTATGAGTTTATTCTCTCTTTTTGGTTTAGAGTAAGTTAACCACCTCTTGTTCCAGAAGATCATCAGGTTAACAAGAATAATTGACCTTCACTGGTCTTTGAAGGAACCTTTAAGAGGTTCCCCTACACTACACTATATACATACTGTGTCATGTTGCTCCAACACCAGGACCTTTTTCCCAGCCTTGGCCAATAAATATGCAGCATTCAAACCTGAGGGTCCACTTCCAATCACAATTACATCCAGGTTCTGGGGCACCCTTTCAGGCTTGAAACCTGTGCAAAAATAAAAAAATTACACACCTTTTAAAAACACCATGAAAAAATGGATCATTCAACTGACCTTTATTCAAAACATCATCCTTTTCCTTGTCTGTTGGGTAAGGCTGGTCCACAACCTCAAAACTTTTTGTGGAGAAGATTGGGCAAAAGATGGCAAGATAGACAGCTTTCAAAATTGGTTTCACCACTATGTAGGCAATGTATAATATCACAGCAAGCAAGCCCACAGTGACAGTCCATCTCCCTTCAGGTAACATATTTCTCTTAGACAAAAAAATTTCAAGATTCAACTTTGAGGGAAAAGATGGAACTGGAAGAATGGAACCTGTTTTCAATGCTGCAGTTGGTGTAGTTTTATGCTGCCCTAAAAAAAAGAAGCCAACTCAGCATGACAATCTGATATTCAATTGGGAGAGGAAGATCAAAATTTTGTTATTGCAAAAAAGGTGCAAAAGAACCTGCTCCTCAATAACAAAGTAAAACCTGAGTGAGCACCATTTATTTAAAATTCATTGGATGTCCCTGGATAACTATAGTTATCATACCTCAGCTTAGTCCCATGCTATTCTGCTTAGATGACCATCAGCTGATGACCATTCTAATATTAAATTTCATTTGCTTAAAGGTTACTCTCAATTTCAGAGAAGAATTGTGCATTCTTGCAGAAACCCAACATCTGCAGAAGAATGAAATTGGATGTTGCAGTTAGAATTTCTAGCATACAAATTCCTGCTATTTGTGCTTTGTCATGCATTTATTGAATTTTTCAACATTTTATTCCAATTGGTATCCTTAAACAAAAGAAAATAATATTATAAGCTCCAAATAATTCAGCATATATCCTGAACTTAAATTTGCAAAATCACCATGATGCCTTTAGATTTTGAATCCTGGAATGATTACCTTGAATTAAATCTTGATGACTAAATATTCCCAGCTGAATTATTTGTTTGCCCATTCCTTTTTTGGAAAAACAAAGATTCATTGGGAATACAATGATGTGCAGCTAGTATCTCCTTATAAAAAATTATTTTTATTCATAGAATTTATGCATAATTTCCTGTGTTGACAGATTCTTTCAAATCAGTCAGCAATAATGCATCAAAAACCTTCTCGGCTTTTGAAGACTTCCAATAATCTTGAAATCCAAAGTATCATGGAGTGAAATAAAGGCAACAAAGAGTGTGAAGTGAAAATAAAAATAAGAACCAACTAAAAGAAAGGAAAAACATTTGATAGCTATTAAGCGGCTTTTAGGAGCTTTTTACAGATTGCTCCTACAATGCATGCTAATTTATTCAAAAGCTGATTAAAACATTTCATCACTTGGAAATATAAAATTTAAATGAATCTTAAAAAGCAGGAGAGTAAAAGTTTGCATTTTAAAGTTCTTCACAATAAGAATCACAACCGTGTTTTTGACCAAAGCCTTGACCAATCTCCCTCCAAAACTGGGAAAGGGTTTTTTTTGCACACCCGCACCCACTGATTCTTTGCACTGCAAATTTAAAAATAAGCTGGCAGCATCTTATTCAGGAACTTTTCAATCTTCTCTGCCATCATTTTGCACCACTGCAATCTGATATTTTTGCACTGCTGCCATCTGTCTCACAATAAGGCTGGAATCTCCAACTCCAACTTCTCTGAGGGTCCATTTTCATCAACAATGATCATAATTCTGATCATGAGTTACATTTTCAGCCTTGAAACAAGGGTACAAATGAAAATTGTAACATATGAGCATGAGAATAAGTTTCACTCAAGATGTAATTTTTCTTTTTTGTTTATATATACACAGTCAATGACCTCAACATGTTTTTGTAAATTGACTGAGGTAACAGACAGCTAGATCAAAATAATGCAAAATTTCCCAAAAAGAATACTTTTTCAGTTAAAAAAAGAACCAAGTTAAGTTAGAGCACTGAACTAGCTGGAATAATTGGATCAGTTAAAAATCCTGAACTACCCAAAATACTGTTAAACCTTGATAAGTCAAATACCTCCCAAATAAGTCATTTTTTAAAGCCCCTGTCTGAATTCTCTTAAACAAAATGCATTGCAAGGCCTCCCTATAACTCGAAAGCTTTTCCTCTAATCCCTCCATAAGTTAAATTTTCTGAGGCCTTTTGGTCAATAATTTCTTACACAGGACATGAAATGCAATACAAATTATATTTGATTAGTTTTGAAAAGTTGTGACAAACTCAATTGTGCCAATGAACCCCTGCCTCAAAGCTCAGCATTTCAAGTCATTTTAGAAGAAATTTGACTCATATATGAAAGCCATTTCATAGTTTGCAATTTTTATATATTTTCATCAATTTAATGACTGTTCTAAGCTAATTGAACTTTGAGTAATTATTCAGGATTATATACTGTATTATTGTTATACAGTACTAAAATGTAACATTCAGCACTTTCACCATAGTCATGATTTCAGGCCAATGTACTATAGAAGCTATACTTGTACAATCTTCAGTTGCATTGAACATTACTGCCTTCATTGAATTTTCACATTGAGAAATATTTGTATCTGGCAAATGACGTCTGAGGGGCTCAAAGAATGCAGCCCATTCTCATTATCATCTGGAGAAATCATCATGACCAAGGAGATTGAAATCATGGAGTGGATCTCATAAATTATGCAAGTCTCTGGAATGTCATGGCATATTTTGACTTTTGAGTCAGGAAAACATTTTTGAAGTTATGTAAAACCCATTTCAAGTTCCATGTTAAATTGCCCTTACTACGTGTGATGGAGTTTATTTTTGCACAACTCACAAAAATTCCTTTTGCTGAATTCATTTTGCAGACTTTCCAGAACATAGTTTTGTGCCTTTTGGAGGAATGATGTTGCATTCAGGTAATTATATATTTGTCAGCTCCAACATTTTCTTTTCTACTCTGCTCATTAGTAATTTTCACAAATGGAGGGTTTATGTTGAGTTCCAGGAGATGCTGCCACATAGGCAAATGAATTTGCCAGAGGGCACAACCCAAGCATGTGGCAGCAGATGTGAGGGTATTAGTGGAAGTTCTGCCACATGATCAGTTTACTGCAATACAGCAAACCATGGTATGACAAGATAGAAACAAAAGAAGGAAGAATAAAGACTGGCAGGAAGACTTCACTTGAAGCTCTCATCTGCCATCAGAGGAAGGACCTATAAGGATTCTCTCATTGATGTGTGTGACTATTGTGCATTTTTAAAGACTGTATTTTCCAAAAGAGGGGATTTGAAAGATTCTGCTAGGTTTGGATTGCTGCATTTGTGTCCACACTCTCCTGTTTATATTGGTTCAATAAACTAAGGCTTTGAGGAACTACAATAAGGAGGATCTAGCCACCTAACAGCTGATTGTCTGTGTTCCCATTTACCTTACCCTTTGTTGATTCCCTGCCCAAAAGTTCATAAAGTAGACTGGATTCTATTCTCAGAAGATTCTACTATAAGTTAAGGCCCAGGCATTTGTCTAATTTATAAATGCAGCAGTACACTGGAAATATATCAGATGACAACATATCCTTATATAAGGAGAACAAATAACTTTCAATTTTGTTTTACATACTGAAGTTGTTACTCTGAATAGAGTTAACGTCTTGACGACATAAAGTAACGTTACAATAAATACTCAATTCAGACACTGTACTTATTTTGACAAAAGTTACTTTGAGAATGTTATTCTGAAATGATGAACAACAACTTGAGCAGAAGCAGCCATTTAGAGAACATTTTTATTGACTCTCATACAATGTGATTGCTTATGGATTGTTTACTGTACATGGTTTATGGTTATGCATGCGGAATGAAAGTCTCAAGTAAATGATGAGCTGAAAATAGGTCAATTATAACAGTCACATGCCCAAAACTGGGAAAGTTTTTTTTTTAGTTTTTCAACTTACTTCACTTCAGTTTAAATTTGTATGCAAATTACAAAAATTAAACTGAGTATTGGATTTATTGAGTCAAAACTTGAGGCATGGTCATATGTTTCTGGGAATTATGCAATGAAATCCAAATCTGCATGTAAAAAAGCATTTTAATAATATATGGTGTTTGAGCCAAACACATATTTCTTCAGATTCCCAACAGTTTGCCAAAATAGAGCTTCAAGAACAAGATTCCTTCCCAGAATTTCAGATGCAGTGATAACTCCGCTTGAGCTGCTGAGGTCCACTGAATTTGCAACTGTGTCCTCCCCAGTCAAATACAATCCTGTATGGATGACAAATATTATGATCAATATATGCACAATAAAAAAAGTTGATTGAAAATTTTTGAAAAACCTGGAATTCCAGTATCTGTTCTCATTTTGGCAGATGCTTCCAGGGACATTCTGGCTCTTGTGTTGTCCAATTTAGCTCCTCCTCCAGCAATTCTGTTGAAGTAATAGTTGGCAGAAGCACTTGTACCACAGAGAACACAGTCCACATGGTCCTGTAAAAAAATATACATATATGAATAGTACAATGACCAAATTGACTTTGAATTGACTGTCACCTTCAGTTGAGGAAACAATTCCAAGGCCTGATCCAATATCTTCTGACCAAATGCTTTCTTCAGTGCATCATACTCATCACCTCTCTTTTTTATAGGTAAGTGCTGCCACTTGTTGAACCACTCATTGTTTGCAATC